GGACGAACACGCCATTCAGCCCATCATTTAGTGAGCTTGAAGTCTCTACTTGTGCCTCCACGCAGGAAAACATGCCTGAACATAAACTGCCCGGTCACTATTTTGACTCATTATGATGGACAAATGGTAGGCATTTAGGGACACTGATGACTGATCGTTGGGCGAGTTTCTCTCTCCCTTTCTTCCTTACATTTCTGTGATAGCACTCTGCAGCAGTTCTCGTTCGTTGCCGCCCGTGTTTCTCCGCAAGCCGGAGTCAGCGGTCGCTGCTAAGCGGGCCACCGTCGCGCGCCCGAGGCCCGCCACCGCAGGCCCCAGCCACCTTCGGCAGCCTTGGCTGCTCGACTTGCGCCTTGTGTCATAAGGCAAATCTAGTAATCGAATATTTCATAAACGCACGCCGTAAGAGGCTTCAGCAATCCATTGTCACCAGACGCCTAGCTTTCCCCCGGTGCGATAGCGGGGCCTGTGCTGTCCCCTTTGTCGGCACGCAGATATCGGCATTGCTCAAACCCCATTAACGATTCAACTCCGGTTACTTCATGTAAGTGATTCAATGACTCAACTTGCGTGACAATACAAAAATTGTGAAAAATACGCAGACTGTGTAAAAATGGACCGAAATCGAGAACCGTCCCACCGAAAGACCAAGCGATAAATACACCACATGCGTCTGAAACATTATGAAGGGTACCGGTCACGTGTTCCAGTCGTTCAGACAGTCGGTACTCATTTCTAATCGTAGTCTAGAGTTCTAGTCTAGCCGAGTTCATTCCCTGTCGTAAATCCCAGTCCGTAACCTGAAACTGTCATTCTCAGAATATGGGTATATATATATATATATATATATATATATATGTGTGTGTGTGTGTGTGTGTGTGTGTGTGTGTGTGTGTGTGTGTGTGTGTGTGTGTGTGTGTGTGTGTGTGTGTGTGTGTGTGTGTGTGTGTGTGTGTGTGTGTGTGTGTGTGTGTGTGTGTGTGTGTGTGTGTGCGTGTGTGTGCGCGCATGTGTGTACATTCACATGTACATTTACGCGCTAACACGTCCACGCACAGCATTTCTTACCAAAAATAGGAAAAGATGTACACTCAGGTTCCGATGTGGGCTACCACTGCACCAAAACACCGAGTTACTAACCCATCAAAACAAATGCATTCTCCACTAAACAAAACGTAACTTCATTAAGGACATGACGCCTTGCCAATGACAGTTTCAGGTTACGGATTGGAAATGGAATGGCGGTAAAATAACCATTCTGAAGTCTGGCAACATCTTTGCAAATCTTCCGTTTGCCAAGCACTGAAAAAGATCTTGGTCCGTCAGGTCTTGGATATCCGCATATTCTTGGCGTCCTGGAAGTCATTTGAATTGTTTAAATGACATCTAAATAGATGGGGAATCCAAACGCCCATGCCCATCCAAACCTAAACAAGCGTTGAGACGAACAGTCATTGGCAAAGTCAAGTCATTGGCCTCCATCTGACCACAAATTGCACTGGCTGACTGGGGAACAGTCCCGGGTCGGCTAGCCATCGAACTATGAAAACCAGCTAGCCGCAACCCATGTTAGTGCGGGCGGTACATTCATGGGTGCATAACGTAGTATCGCTGATGCGGCAGCAGCCACACCAACACTGCGACTTAGCTACATTCATAGGTGTCATTTTCATAAAGAAAGTGGCGGTTTCACCGGACTTCACATGCAGCTTCTACAGCCACTCTCCACCCGCTGACATATCTCTGGCTACCCATCGGCTCCAGCCGTGTCCGAGGATACGCCGTTGCAACCGCAAACCAGCCGCCTGAACCCAGGCGAGCCGCGACGGTTACCACGGCGCAAGCAGCCTTCGCTGCGCTGTGAGTCAGTCGTCTGCGTCGGTTGCCTGAGTCGGTCAAGGGAGCCTGTCACCTGGCCAGAGCAGACGCAGCGGCCTTCAACGGGTACAGCTGGGACGGGCGAGCTCCACGCTGGAGTGACTCAGAACAATGATCACGAATCAGCAAAGGAAACCCTCATGCAACCACTTTTGGGCGAAAGGCAATTCAGACAGCACAATAGGCAAAATGAAGCGCATGAATTGGCTTGAAAATCGAGACAAACCCTTTAAAGCCATGCGAATCAGACATCAAGCGAATGAGTCTCCTACACTACCAATACAGTTGATCAACCTACCTAATGCTCGCCCAACGACGTAGCATCCCGCCACTACTCAAATCTGGTCGGATCGCCTGCACTTGAAACAACTTTTAAAAACAAAACTAGATGATCCAGAGGTACCCACGCCCATGCATGAAATACGGGGATACGCGACACGCTCTGCACTGCCCACTTCATCTTACGACTTTTTTGAGACGGAAGAAACTTAATGATCGCGGGCGTAAATCAACAGCAGGCGCCACAAAAAAACACTATCCTGCATCCACTGAATCCAGTTTAATAAAAACACTTCAGGTAGCGCCACCCTCAGGGGCAATGGCGGCCCTCTCGAGTTGGGAGAAAGGGCGGGGGAGAGGGGCAGGCAGGATCTCCAGTTTTGGTCAGGTCTTTTCTGTCGGTGACCACAGGTTCAATAATAAATTCTCAAATTTAGGACCACTCAGCCCCCTGCCCAACCTTGTTCGCTAGTTCCACAGCTCGCACAACGACCCCCTCTAGTTCCCTGTAGAGAATGCTCCACATTTGAAGATATTGATGCAGACATCATAAATGAGATAAGCTTACCTCCAATACGTCATTGTTTAGTTACATCATCGTACCTTGCACATGGATTCAGACCAATTGGCGGCCGTTGCATCTGGAAATTAAGCTCACGAACGTCAGATATGAGCGGCTCGAAAGTCGCATTTTCTGGCCTCGATCGTCACATAGCGAACGGAATTGCAATATTTGGATGTCACGGCGCCATAGATGCCGAGGTGACACCGAAATAGTGTCCCAAAACAGTCTGCACATCCCTGCCGGCGTGTGGCTCAAAAACTGGAAGCGTTTAAGTCCCTGATGACAGGGTTGTGAACTGCACTGAATGATCCTCAAAATAGTTACTTCCGTTCCCAGCCCACCACAAATGTAGAACACTTTCGCTAACTGTCCTCTCTACGGTAGGCGCACTGCGCTGTGGCGTCCTCCCAATGTTCACTAATGACACACTTCCAATGGAATCTTGCGGGCAGCTCGTCTGTTCTGTGGGTAGCATGCTTCTACATCCTGCAGCTGTTTACTTCTGGATTCCCTGGCATAATGCACGGAAACTCGGTGGTGGGCCGGGTCGGGTGCTCCCGGTCGCCATATAAGGATAAGTTGCATCCAACGAGCCGCGGCTAGTGTACCGGGGACAAGCACCGAATTAGAAAATGAAATTTAGATTTGCCTCTGGCAGCCCTACTTAGCTCGAACCGTATTTGTAACGCGCTACAATTAATGGTACTGATGCCGCAACATATTTCGTTACAAACCCACTGCATTTCAAAATCAGTCCAGGCGAAATCCTTATAAGTTAGACCCCACATTATGGGTTTCTGTACTCCGACAACATCGCATGCGATGTAAACGCCGCCTACGTCGGCAGAGCATTGCACGACTTACCCCGGCAGAAATGGACTGGACAAAGCCCTTCCGCCATCTATGTTACAAATTGATTAAATGATCAAAACCAGCACAGCTGCCGATCGCAAGGGAAACCAGACCATCCCATCGGCACCCCAGGCAACCCGCAGCCGGGGAGCCTAGACCGCAGCGTATGGCAGATCATGTCATGCATGACTTGCATTTGGACCCCGATCACATATCCCCACAGATCTCGACAACCGACAACGACGGCGGCTGCCAGTGTACCGAACGTTCTACTGACCACCAGATCTGACTCCGCGCCCGCAGAACTGACGCCGACCGCGAAACAAACTCCTGAGCGTGGGTAACTGCAGCCGGGTTGACAACCCGACCCGTCTCGGGCGTCCCCGTCAGCGGCGTGCGGGCGTGGACCCCACCCACGGGGGAGCCCGACGGCTGTACCCCAGAAACGGCGGAGCGGCCAAGGTGGCAGACGGCCAGAACTGGGGCGGCGCGCCGGCCCCGCCTAACCCCGGCGCCATTACACTCAAGGCCCGCTCAGGGCGTCGGGCCGGCCCCGCCAACACTTCCGCCGACTGGGGCACCAGCTGGCCGCCGAAACATCCGCTCGGCTCGGCTCGGCACGACCGCGCACACCCCCGGCGAGCCGCACTCCGCGACCCTCTCGCTCAGAGACCACCACACCAGCCGGAGTCGCCGACGAACAGCAGGACGGGAGCGCGACAGAAATGCCCCACTTGGGAGCAGCGGGACCACCAAAGCCCGGTGCGGCGGCGGAGCGTCAGTGCGCGTGAGCAGTGCTTATAATGCACGTGAAGCCACCACGAAATACCCAGTGCTGGGGTCGGCCGGGTTAGAACTCTCCGTAGCCCTTCAGAGGACAAGGGCGCCTTCTTTCAAGCATTCTTAGGTGTAAACAGAATCGCGGCACAACGCACACGACCCAATGATGCGCAATGCTCTGCGTGACGTTCGGTGAACCCCGCGCTCCCCCCCCCCCCCCCCCCCCCCGGCACTCACACATCTTTTAACAGGCATGTCGCCACGCACTTGTTAAGGATCCCGTTATGGCCCGGATGTAAAACGGACCTTGCTATGACTCGCCTACATAGCAGACTACACTGGGACCCGTGTGCAAAACGGATCCCATTGTCCTGTAAAGCAGACCCCGTTGGGATCCGCCTGGCACATGGAACACAGCGCCCACGCGACGAACACGGACCAGGCGTCTGGTAAAGCCCTCTTTCTAGTTACGCCACACATCACGATCCATGCACTGATCACGATGCACCATACTCCCCCATCGCATGCCGAGACATGCGCAACACGCCCGTCAGCGAGAGGCCTCATCTCCGCCGCACCACCCCCAACCAAAGGCGAGCGGCATTCGACGCCTCGTTCTGGACGGTAGTATCCGAAATAGCTGCTCCTCAGATCAGAAAGGTCACCGGATCCGGACCCGGATCCGGATCGGCCAAGCGCTCAAAGGCTCACCGGGGAGTTCGCCAGATCGCTTAGTAACTACACGCAAGTGACGCGAGGATGGCAGGGCGGACTGCGGCTGGCCTGTCGCCGCTGGGCCGGCGTCCGGCCGCCACTTACCTGCTTACCTGAGGCGGCGGAGCACCGCTGACGCCGGCACGGTGCCGCCCAGCTCCCCGCCGCCGTCACGGCCGCCCTTCTGTCGCTCAGCTGCGCTCCCTCCAGCAGACGGCGACCTGCACTGGTCAGCCGGGCAGACCGCCATCATTACCGAAACCGCGCCAAGCGCGATGCCTCAGTGTTGAGATCCAGACACGAATCTGGATTCGTGATTTTTATGAGGTGGGTGAGCTGGTGGGTCTTCGTGTCGGTGTTTTTCGTGTCCCAGGATCAGACCACGTCGACCCCCGACCCGTAACAAAAGTTGCAGGAGGGACGGGCCCTAGCTAGAATTCGTTCCTTTCCCAAATCTGTAAGGTATATGAAAGAACGCTGCTTGGCACCAGTGGTTCTTAACCGAGGGTCGTTCACATGATCACCGCGGCTCTAGAGGACGCACAAGTCGCAGCCTCCAGTGGTTTCAGGATGCGTCGCCTGCTTTCGCTACTCGCGCTCGCCTGTTCATGTTCTCTGACGGTCAAGTAGGACGCCAAGCGAAAGCATCCTTCTACCAATGCGTCTGCACTGACCTAGATGCTCAAGCCTCTCCCCGATTTGTCGTTTTCCATGTCGCGAACGAATGAGGGGAGAGGGGAGGGGTCGAGCGATCCCCTCAATTTCGAACAAATAATGGTAGTTTCGTAGCCTCGGGAAAACAGCGGTGGATACAAATATGTTGCCACGGAGAAACCAAAAATGCGAAATACACGCTTTTTGGTGTCGAAACACGCGCCGTGAATGATCCCGTGAGGGTGATTGCAGTTTTGATCGCACCGACGTAATAAATGACCCCGAGGTTACTGGAAATGCGGCCGCGATTACGTGACCAACTCCACCGACCGCATCTACCGCTTATAACGCTGTGCTTAACTGTTTTACCACAGTGCAGCGCGGATGGTGAGTCTGACAAACCAGCCGAGCAGAAAATGCAAGGCATAGAAAAAACGTATGGTAAGAACTTCTGGTGACCATCGCCCAGACGGTAAGAACTTCTGGTGACCATCGCCCAAACGGTAAGAACTTCTGGTGACCATCGCCCAACTCACGGACGTCTGAAGCACGGGGAGAAAATGTGGCAAGTTTGTAACAGGGGAGAACTGGGATGCTGCGATCAGGCCCCAGCAGCCGGGAGATCGATAACGCACCTCCACCACTTCCGCATTTTGAAACCAAAATAAATGGCCCACTGCACGTTTTGAGCCCCCGGTATGGACTGGGACTTACGGCCACGGATTTGCCTCTATGTTCTTGGTTCCCAGCTGGTACCCGTGTTCAGCTTGGCCGAAACTTCTAGTGCGTTCTTTCTCTTGGCCTTCTAGTGGCTTCAGGCCGATGACCTTGACTTTCGATTTCTACCTCTTCACGCGAAGACGACTGAATCCGACATGTTCCGAACGGCGCCCGCTTGGCTTTTCAAACCAGGTGAGTCACTTCTAACTTGTATCATTCCCATTCTTCCACTTCAATCTTAAAAAGAACAAAACTGGAATTAGTGCCAATCTAAAAAGGCCTTTATTGTAACGCCTGAACACGATGAGCCGCCGTGGGACACAGAGCGGCCGGTGGGGCGCCCGGACGGCCGCACCGGCGCACACAATTTCGCAGTGGAACTCAATGAATGGCGTCGAATGCCCTCACCGGGTCGGCCGCCTCAAATGAAACACGCTCACGATACGGTGAAGTCTGGACGCACGTCGACCCCCGGCGCCGGGCCCTCGTTCGCGCGCGCTCACTCACACACCCACCCGCACACACACGCGCACCTTCACTCGCTCACGCACACTCAACACAGGCACACACACACACACACATATACACACGCACATACAGAGCACGGACGAGGCAGTGCAGTAGGCGGGCCATCGGGCGTGTACACACGCAGGCACACACCCATCCACACGCGCGTGCGCCGGCTAGCCGTGCCCTGCATATTGACAAGTCCGGGTTCGGTGCGCCTGCGCCGGCTGCACGGTGCGGCACATTGGCCGACCGCTGACCTAAGGTCAGTCGGGCCCGGGGAGAGAGCCGGGGAGCGGACAGGGGAGAGGCGGGGAGGGCGGCCCAAGGCGCCGGGGGCGCGCCAGCTGGTGGCGGCCGTCGCGTGCCGCCGCTCAGTACCTGTACCGACCTGCAAGATCAGAGAGGACGACGGCGGTTACCCCAGCGGCCGCACGGCCGACACCCCTTCCCGCGGCAGCGGCCAACTCGCCGGACCGAGCCGCCAAGCCGCACAACGCCACCCTGCCATTGCCCTCATCCTGTTGCCTACAGTCGACTGGCCAAAGCTGAGCCAAAGCTAACACACCCTCCGAGCCGCTGCCCTGGGCCCGGCTGATCTTTGAAAGTCCTTTAAACGAACGCGTATCACTGACATTTACACACAACAGTTTTTCAGCGAATTTCGATTACCATGTGATAAATTCCATCACACAATCATTACGCAATATCTTAAACAAGCATGCAGTAACGAACCACGCCTGACATGCGTACGTGGACATAGAAGAGGAAGTTAATAATCTAATACCCTACCGCCAGACATACAAACGAATCCCGTTACGCTAGCTGCTACTTTCATTTCTACGCGGTGTCCAGAGACGGCCCGATTTTTGTACGCGATCAGGCAGAACCCTTACTTGCCTCCCATCGTGATCACCGTCAGGTGGTTTAGCCTTGACCACATTCGATTGTTTCAACGTGTCGGTGCAAACTTTCCAACAAGGCTGTTCCGTCTGAGAAATTTTCGAAACACTCGAGCGATACCAGAGTAAAACAAAAAAGCACAAAAAACACGAAAACTATGCTACCCAGCATCAATTTTCGGATGGAAGCCGGAGCCATCTGGCAAATCTTCTTGCAAAGCCAATATCATCACAACAGGCTCAAAGCACGGGAATTTTACCAGCAGCCATGACGTCTTGAAATCTAATCCACCAGACAATCGAAGTAACGCCATCAACCCACCAACCGGGCGCTCTAAACTAGGCGAATGAGGCGGTACCAAAACCCATCACCACCATGCAAACATCAGAGCGTCGGCCCCAGTCCCCACCGCGCACCCGCCGCTCCTACCGCACGCCCCGGCCGTCCGCCGGCGGTGCCGGGCCGCGCGCCCTCTCACCTCCGTACTCGCCGCGCGGCGAGTAGGAGCGGCTGCGCGAGCGGCGGTAGCGTCTGCCGCCGCCGCCGCCGCCGCCGCCGTAGTAGGGCGAAGGCGAGCGGCGGTACTCCTCGCGGCGGTAGTCCTCGCGGTAGTAGTCGTCGCGATAGTCGCGGCGATAGTCGCGCCGGTCGTCGTAGCGGTCGTGGCCGCCGCCGTAGCCGCCGCCGTACCCGCCGTGGCCGCGGCGGCCGCGGGAGCGGCGCGAGAACCTGGCAAACCGGTGATTGCCTGTCATGCCGTCTCCGCTGCGGAACAGCGGGCACCGATGTGACTCAAAACCTCCGCGAGGAGCACGGTCAGGTCGGGTTGGGTCAGCACACGAGGGCGGACGACGGTTCCCGACATCAACACACGTCATTGCAGCGAACAGAGCCGACAGCACACAATCACAACAGCACACAATCTGAGCTAGCTGTACGTATAGTTTTGAGAACATTTATCATCCCAACTTGTGTGGGGACGGGAGCAGAGCCCTCGCAAAACAATTTGTGATCCGTGGACAACGGCACCGCCAGCCAAGTGGTGCTGTGAAGCGGCGTGAAATGCAATTTGTCTGAGACGTAGCTGCAGCTAAGCAATTCGTAGCATATAGTACAATTCGAGTCACACATTTTTTACATAATATGTATTACGAAAAGATGGACAGCGTTTGACCAGTCCAAACTGGACACACATGCGCTCACATCAACCGACACACGTTTACAAATCTTAAGTTTTGTACCCCCCCCCCCCCCCCCCCCCATTTGAAATCCAGCTCCGCGTTACGTCTCAGGCGCGTGGAACAATGACATAGTGCGCACCGTAGGCAAACATGACCGCCAAAACTTTCATCCGAACGTCCAAACCCTGTTCATCGTGCGAGTGCGCGTCGAGAGGCAGCAACTACGGCGCAAGATGTGGCTATTACGGGACGAAGAACGGGTCTCTGGCGAGAAAATAACGCGCAGTGAGCTGTTAAAGTCTGCTGATAAACTCAAAGTAGTCCAAGCGAAGTGCCCATTTCTGGTAGCCCAGTCGGTCACGGCGCAACTATACGGATTCGCCCCCTCGTGAGGGAGTCGGTTTTCGCGTTCGCTACAAGCCCCTAAGTTGACCTGAGACCAGTGGCAGCGACCGTGCTTAAGGTCACGTGACTTTGGAGGGCAGAACAGATGTCGAGGATCGCGGAACATTTAACTGTTGCGACAAAACCTAGCAGTGGAAATGGAATTTCGTAGACAGGAGACAAGGGGGAGGGTACGACTCACGCAGTAAGTACTGCTCACGGTGGGCTCTGATCCTTGAAATTCATCTACTTCAAGGTTCAGACCAGATCTCAAGGCCCAGCAATTCTTGTGAAAATACACCCGCGTGGCCTCAAAACAATGACCATGAATTAAGGATTTAGCGGGCACCTGTCAGCGCTGGCACTGGTATTGGTAAGCAGTCCACAGCTGACAGCGTGATCGCAAAGACGGCACATGTGGGCGCGGTCCCACGCGCGCACACCAGCGACATCGGAGGCGAGGGCCGGCGCACCAGCCGGGCCGGGACTCACTGTGAGGGCCGGCCCATGTAGATGCCCGGCGTGGGAGTGTGCGGCCGCTTGGTGATGGAGAAGTCGACGCGAATCTTGCGGTTGTCGATCTCGATGCCGTTGCAGTCGTCCTTGGCGCGCTTGGCGTCCTCCAGGTTCTCGAAGTAGACGAACGCGAAGCCTCGCGAACGGCCCGTCTGCAAGGCAATGTGCACAATGAGCGATACGCATAGCCAACTGCTGCCGTCCGCCAGGATCCCAGCGACGGCCATCAGTCTGAATACAATCACCTAGGGCCGAGCCAATATCATGTCCGAGCAGCCCTGGTGTGAGATCGAACCCCCAGTCCGTCTTTGTCACAAACATGAGTACGAAACCAATGGTTTTTCCGATTCATGGGTCCGTGTTCTTTCACATCCCGTCTGGCCAGCGAAAGGAATAGACCATCAATACTACAACTTTTAGCACGATGAAGTGGCACTTCACAGAGACGTTAACAACTGCGACGATATCGCCATAGTTTTTGAAAAGTTGTAGTGCCCGATATGAGATCGTAGCCAAAAGCGCCAACGTTTAACCAAACCTAGTCGTAATTGCAAACACCAGCCAAACCCAAACTGATGCACTCAACCCAATCCTAAGTGCAATAATATCAACCCATGGGCTTTACACCAGATCACATTTTTCCACGTCTTCGATTAAAACGCAATTTCAATGCCGAACCACGGCTAAATCAAATGCGATTCAATCAAGGCTTAATTCTGAATATGCGGGTGAAAGTTTAGTGCCGGCCGAACGTTTCTGAAATCGCCAAATTCGAGTTAGTCATGGCACCTTACATCAAAAACTGAATTCACAATCTATCTTCTGACCTCGAGACCACTTTTTATCTTGTTTAATTTAGCTATGGCAACACAACTCAAATTAGCACTCACGAAAGCCATGAGAAGAGCGGGACTACAGGTGGGATAGTCCCCTCTAACCCTTGGAGTTATCGCGCTTGGGTCAGCACCAGTTCAGGGATTGGCCAGCTTGGAGAAAAGCACGTACGGTTCACGGCTGTCAGCACCGCGCGCACGGATGGGCTTCACGCCAGTCATTACACCCGTACTACTCTCTCAAAAAGGGGTATTTACAGCGGACTGTGTGGCGGCCCCTGCCATCTGCCGTTCCGCCGTGCGGTCCACACGCCCGGCACCGGCCACCCGGTCGGCCCTCACCTGGGCGTCGGTGACGATGGTGATCTCGTCGATGTTGCCGTACTTGGAGAACACGTCACGCAGGTGGCGCGTCTGCGTGTACAGGCTCAGGCCGAAAACGCCCAGGCAGCGTGTGGCGGCCGGATTGTCCTGCACCAACCAGACACCGGTCAAGCACCAGGCGGGCAGACGATTTCTGACAACGCCAATCGACGCAAACCTGACACGGCATTTGGGCCCCGTTCGATCTGTCGTCCGCATGAGTGCCAGCTGGAATGCGTGACGTCATGTGTGCTGACGGAGTGTTCGATGTGGGGGGCTGACGGGAAAGTTTTTTTAACTTTGCTTTCCCTTTTTCCTTTACCTTTTACCTCAGACCACGCATTAACTCTGGCTTACCGTCCATCATGACACACTTCCCGTCAAGTTGTGTTTGGAAGCGTGGGGTCTGTTCAGTAGTACCATCACCTATCCCATCTGTATGTTGAGCGCTTCTCCCCATTTTCAGTTAATTTCAATTTCTCCCCTTAACGCTTTTAATTTACTGGAGAACACAATCACACTCCACCAATCATTGTCCCTTACCTTATCATGGCTACTCTTGGTACTTCACTTCCCTTCATCTATCTTACGTCGCATTTCCCCCAAAACTGGTAGCAAGTGCCCCCACCCCATCTAACGTACTCGAAGGCGCAAAACCTACCAAATCAAACTCGCGCTTCTTTGTCAGTGATTTTTGAAACCTGGTAGTGCGTTCTCCCCACGATTAGAGACTGACAGAAAATCCATATATCATCTTCAGCCAGCGCGTGACGTCACAAGCCACGTGACTCTGTGGTCGCGCGACGTAACGTAGGGCAAATAATAGGCCGTGATAGGTGCCGACAAACGTGCTGACGACAGATCGAACATGGCATTGGGTTGACACCAACTTGACATGAACTTCTGAACATGGTGACAGGTCTGCCCAATTCAGTGTTGAAAAACTTGACGTTTCCTCGTACAATGCATAAAATACCGGAGTCAGCGGAGTGACCTGACTCCAATCCCTTTTGGCCGGCCTAGACGGGTCTGTCAGGCATTGTACTTGCGCTGGCTAGGTAAATCGGTTGAGAGTGCTGCCTGTCTCTATTATTCGGCTGGGACGTGCAGGGCCTCGTGTGTTGCCCGGGAGTTGTAAGGTGGGGGGCATGAATGTTTAGCCGTTTTAAGACCAGTTGGCTGGTGGAGCGCGAGTACCGTGATCGTGGTGGACCATGAGTAGGTGGCCGTCTGTGGCAAGTTGATTTGCATTTCTGGTGTACCATTTTTCTTTGGCTGTGCGTATCGTAACCACCCTCCATTTTGGAGGGTGTATAAGCCCGGTGCGTAGCCACCCTCCACCCTCCATTCTGGAGGGTGTATAAGCCCGGTGCGTAACCACCCTCGGTTTTGGAGGGTGTATACACAAAGCCCTTCGTAACTTGCAAACCCATATATAAGCACGTGTGTTTTATAGTACAGTGTCTGAGACTGTGTCGTTTCAGTGTGTCATGTTTAATACTGATGCTTTGTTTCATTTGAAGTGCTTCTATATTAATTGCTGTATATGAGAAGTGTCACTTTTGTTGAGTACCACCTACTGTACTGTTACCTCCCAAAGATAACCTAAATACAATTGTAATGACCTGCAGCACTTGGACAATTTTGTACTCCACTGTAGAAAATTTGTACTCTGTTACCAGGCAATTTTGGGGGAATTTCCAACACTGCTGCCCATGTTACCACAACACTAGCCTATATTTCATGCATGGTGTGGCATCTAGTCTTGTGACATTAATTCCAATTGAGAGCTACATCATGCCTGCCCTGACATCTCCTTCCCTCCAAAATGGACGTCACAGTTGCTCACTGCGCAGTCATTTCTGCTGCCCTCCATGCTTCAATCCGGCCCATGGCTTCACCGTAAGCGAGAGGGGAAGGGAGAGGAGGAGAGGGAGGGGGGCGGGGACGGGGACGGCAGCACTCACCCGATCTCCCAGGTGGCGGCGACGGTTGGAGCCCGGCGAGCGGCTGCGCTGACGTCGCTTCGGTGTGTAGCTGCGTGAGCGGTCCCGCGAGCCAGACTTGGACCTGGGAAGACCACAGCCCCAGGCGTCACTCAGGGGAATCTAGCCTGGCCCATATTGAAAAGTCTGCAGGCGTTGAAAGCAGCAGAAATTAAAAACCACGGAAAAAGCCGCCACACAACAGCGTATCCACATCACTTTAATTAGCCTAAATATTTCGGCGGTCTCAAGCAACCAAAAGATGATGAAAAACACAGCATACTAATTGAACGCAAACCAGCCCACTCCTTACAGTCATGCATTAATACAGATATCCAGCATATCCACGTCCATTTAGCACCAACGTAAAATGGTGCATCACAAGACAACCCCAGCAGCATACCGCCCGACCCGGACCACGCGCCGAGTCGGCGGCGCCACTTACCGAGACACGGGCCGTTTGTGACGCCGCTCCGGCGAGTACGAATCGGCAGAGCCGTTTGGCGTGCCCTCCTTCACGTTGCGCTCCGGAGAGCTCTGTCAAAAAGCCAGATACATCAGATTTCAGGCTCCAAGCAGCAGCAGATAGCTGATGTCACTGGATCACACAGGTCAAAACATGATCAGCACTTAAAAGGAGTATCCTGTGTTAGTATTAGAAGGTATCTTAGTGTTCAGACAGGTTTAGCAGGATATTGTGATCAACTTCAAATTTTTCTGGCCCAGTTGTCTGGTCGAATATATTCAATAAAGCATAAAGTATGTTGAAAGCAGACTATACACCATGCAGACCATTATTACACATCTGTGCAGGAAATTTGAGCTCATCATACAAGGTATCATCATAGGTTCAATCATCATACAAGGTATCAACAGAAACAGAAAAAAAGACAAAACTTCCTTTCATGGAACCAGAAGGGCTTTACAAAATAAACTGAGGATCCTGAGCAAGGGAGATAGCCAAACCTACATCCCAAACTAAGGGACAAACATTTCAAATGAATTTAACCTACATTATCCCCACAGTTTATGCTTATTGAATACAGATAGGGACAAGTGGATCCAGACTGTCAAAGGTACTGTTGCAACTAAGACATTCATCATCACAGTGGCCGAGGCAACAATTGATCACCAACATTTATACCCTATGCTGCAAGAACACATTGTACACCAACTCATTCTGACATCAAAACCCCTTATAAATGATGAGACAGTAACATCTCATGGATATCTTATCACCTCAGCTTCAACATCTTCTAATAAAATCACAACAGCAAATGTCAGGAGACACTGATGGCAAGACAATAATTCATCAAGACCATCCCTCTGGATCAACTTCAGCTTTGCTTTTTCAAAAGTGAATCTTTTGCATACTGACTGTTGATGGGTTGAAGTGCCTTAATATGAGGCCTTAATATGGTACAAATATGATATGGCAATAACATATAGCACTACACATCAAGGGAAGAGTGATGGGGTGTGGGGGTTTGGGTGGGGAATGACAAGTTGATAATGAGTATGAACTGGTGGGGGTGGGAGTTTGAGGAGAGGTACTTTTAGGGCATAGGTAGTTTTAGGGCATGTCAACTACATTGGTTTGTTTCACCAGTATGGGCTGGGGTGGAGGCAGGGGCAGGGGCAGAGGCAGGGGCAAGGGCAGGGCAGGTTCAGGGGCAGGGGCAGGGGGAGGATTGAGAGCAGGGGCAGGGGCATGGTAAAGAGTAGGGTTTAGAGTGTCAGTGACAGCAGGACAATGTTAGGTTTCAAAATTAGCTACAGGCAAAACAGGTGCCAGAGAGCTTGAAGAACACCATGTTGGATTATTATGTCAACCATCAGAATGCAAAAAAGTATGCAAAAGCTCTATCTCAAAATGCAGAAGCTGGCCTAGATCTGCTGGGATGGCCTTGAAGCACTAATACCATACCAACAGTTCTGTAGACCAATGCCTGCAGTTACCACCATCATCATGGTATGTTTATGACATAATTAAAATCAATGGATAATCAATGGACAAGATACCACTGTTATAATAATCATATAATATTCATTATATACTCATGATCAATTATAATATTTCCTGTCTCCAACATCATCTATGTACAATCCATTCTTATAACACAATGTAAAGATGTCCACCTTAATAATGGAAGCACATGCACATCATGAACCACAGCATTCAACATTTGCCATATGCTGCACAGCCATTAATTTCAGTGGACACATAGTCAATGTTGCAATGAATTGTAATATAACAGAAAATTTTGAACAAAAATGCCACAAAACACTTTTCAATGCATCATCTGAAATTCACCTCAACTAAACCTCCCCTGAGGGCAGCAAATGCATACACCAGATTTCACACATCAACATCACACAGGTTGATAGGTGTCTGTGGCAGATACCTCCATGTCTAAAACTTGGGTGTTTCTTGGTGTTTTTAGCCCCAAGATGACAAGGCAAGCTGTTCTCTCCTTGCATGATTCTCTCTTTCAATCAATCTCTCCTCGCAATGCATTCAGTGCCCAGGTCTGCCGCTGCTCACCAGCACATTTAACCCACCTACCATCCAATAACGACACTGACGAGCTCATACACCAGGCCCGAGCCCGCACCCAAAACAACAACAGCGTCTCTTGACGGACCAGGGAGAAGCGCACAGAACATCTCGTACACGGCACGATTCAATGTTTCTGGGTTGCATGTAGAAATCATTGTAACACAAGAAAAAATGATACCGAAGTATGTCACACTTACATGCACCTCTAAATATAGGGTTAATTCATCATATATTGATGAATGAATTATTTTGCATTCTTTTTGACTAACACTTTTATTAACATTGCATTTGAAACTATCAAAAAATGACATTGTATAGAACATATAGTGGTGATGTCAAACACCATCCCAAACACTCGCTTGGGCACGAGGAAAGCCACGGTTCCGCGGGTCTCCGGCTCTTGGGGAGCATTTAGCAGTGGAGCAGGCACCTTTAAAAAATCTGAGCTGAATACATAGTGAAAATGCATAAAAGGGGTATTAAACCAAAACATGAAATTTCCCTATCAATCTACAGAGCATCGCCGCAGAATCATGATCTGAGTACAAAGGTAAAGCGGGGTTTCTTAGTCTCCAATGAGCATAACTTTTCCTGGTGTATTTATATGATTATTTACTTCCTTGAGATATACCCTTTATTTTAGCCAGGTTTTGCCAAACAATACTCTTTACAAAATCAATAAGGTCCTAAAAAGCAATATCAAAACCGACAAATAGCCTACAACAGCGCTGTTGTTGACTGCTATTGCGTGCCCTCCATTTATGTAGCCCACGGACCTTGTTTTGGAGGAGCCCCACGAGGGGCGGTGAAAGTCCAACTGGTTGGTGGTGTAGAAAAAGGCAATATATCAATTTAGCTCAGTGTCATACACCGAGAAAAGTATTGTACCACACTCAACGCCGATGAGTAGATGTAGTAGTGATGAGTAGGTGTAGTAGATAGTAGTGATGCTAACTTTATAAGACTGGATTGCTCAGTGAGGAGGAAATAATTCCTCCACCCCTGCGCTGTTGGCCTCCGAGCCCCAATCATGCAGCAGCCTGATGTCCCAGGTGGTGTAGGTTTGTACATAACTTTGTGGAGTGGGTGAGCAGAGAAACATTTCATCCCAAAGAAACGGTGCAAACCATGTTCTGCCTGATTTTGACCACGTTTTTTGTCAAAGTTGGGGAGGGGCTAGCATTCTATCCAGCTAAATAGACTACACACTACACACTTGCTCCCCAATTAAGTCCATCTAGGTCAGTAAAAGCCTAGGTGGGTATCACATTGCCCAAGCATCTTTCCTCCAGATGAGAGAAATTGTACCTTATCTAGAATGTAGATGCGCTAGCTACTATGCCCCAGATGCTCCTATTTAAATTGTGGCTTGCATAACATTTCAATCATAAACTTTGCATCATGTGCTCTGGAGAATGGTGCAACAGGTGCATAACATTTTAAGCTGCTGCTTCTATCAACCCTTATTGGGACTGAAACCTTCAAAATAGAATTATCAGCATCCACAATTTTCCACCAGCTCCATAGCTCCATGGGGGGGGGGGGGGGGGGCAGCAGAATAAAAAGTACACCTGGTGCAAGCATAGACTTAGAAGAAGCACTTACAGAGAATGTTAGAAAATTTAAGAATTGCAAGCAGCCAATTTCTAATGGTCTTTGGCAATCACTGGGACCTGCTAGGGCATGGTGTTTACTGTCACCTGCTGCCAAAAGATGTACTTTAGCACCAGCTGTGAATGCAGTACATATTTACTTTGGTCATTTTGTTCTCACTACAAGTCATGGTTTCAATAATTTTGTTCTCCCCTCCAAGGGACAAAACCAAGTTTCAGACACTACACTGAACCTTACAATAAATTATCAATATCAACAGCTTTCGAACAGCCCTATGGCTTGAAAAATACAGCAGGTGTAAGCATACACTTGGCAAGGAAGCACTGACGGCTTTTTTTACTTTGGTACCTGTACGGCCGACGGAGGGAAGAGCTACACTGGCTGCAGGGTTCATGTACTGTCGTGCTGGGGAAATGCTGTGAGGCGTCAGCTGACATTGTAACGTCACTGAAAATGGTTTTGCCCGATCCGGGTTCTTTTGGGCCGACTGAAGGTCATAAGGCATTTGCTGGCGATACAATGTCACTGGTATTCAACTGGGTATATGACGTCACTGGTCGTGAGGTTTTAGGGCTCTTTCAGGTCCAATGAATGCTGTAGGGCATCACCTGACGATATGCCGTCACCGGTATTCGATTAAACATCAGGCGCAACAGGCCTCATTTCGTCTTTACTTTTCGTACCTGTCTGCTGCAACCATCTTTGTGCCAAATAAAGGTTTGACCAAATCACCTGAATGTGTGATGTCACTACTTATCACTTGATGCGAGTGCACTTCGGCCCCACGATCACGGGCTCTTTTGAATCGGCTGAATGCTGTAAGACATCAGCTGATGATATGACGTCACAGATATTTGGCTGAACATCGGGCAGCAGGCCGCGCTTCATCTATACCTTTCGTACCTGTCTGCTGCAAGCATTGGCATGCTGAAGGGAGGTGCTGCCGAATGACCTGTGTATGTGTGGCGTCACTGGTCATGAGTTTTTATGGATTTTTTGGGGCCAACTCAAGGCCATAAAGCATAAACTAACGATGTGACGTCACTGGCATTCGACTGTGTGCGATGTCACTGGTCATGAGATTGGACAGCCTCTTTCTGGCCGACGAAAGGTCATATGGCATTAACTGACGATGTGACATCACCGGTATTCGAATTAACTTCAGGCATGCCAGGCCATGCTCCACCTTTAGCTTTGGTACCTGTCCATTGCAAGGGTTGGCATGCTGAAAGAAGGCTCTGCCGAATTACCTCAGTGTGTAACGTCACTGACCATTAATTTTTATAGACTGTTTTGAACCCACTATAGGCCATACCACATCAGCTGACCATATGACGTCACTGGCTTTCGACTAGACATCATACCTGTCATTGTACCTGTCTACTGCAAGCATTAGCGTGCTTTATCAGGGCGATGCTGAACCATCTGAGTGTGTGACGTCACTGGTCATGAGTTTATACAGGCACAGTTGGGCCGCCCAATGTGACAAAGCATCATATCCCGTGAAGCATCGCGGGATGATATGACGTCACTGGTATTCACTCAACATCAAGGGCAACATTCCATGTAACATCTTTGCCTTTCGTACCCGTCTTTTACAAGCATCGGCGTGCTGAATGAAGACTGTCGAATCTCCTGAGTGAGTAACGTTACTGGTTAAGAGTTCTTATGGGCTTTTTCAACCCCCTATATGGTATATGCATCATCTGACAATATGACGCCACTGGTGTTCGACTTAACATTAGACGCAACAGGTCATGTTCCGTCGTTGCCTTTCGCGCCCGTTAAACAATTGGCGAGCTGAATGATGGCTCTGCCGAAACACCTAAGTGTGTGGTCACGAGTTTTTACAGGCTGTTTTTGTCTGAGTGAAAAACAAAAGGCATCAGCTAATGGTATGTCGTCACTGGTAATCCACTGAATGTGACGTCACTGGTCATGATTTTTTACGGGCCTTTTTGGGCCGACCCAAGGCCATTAGGCATCAGATAGCGATATGACGTCACTGGTATTCAATTAAGCATCAGGTGCAATAAGCCATGTTTCATCTTTACCCTTTGCACCTATCTACTGCAAGTATTCGCGTGCCACACAAAGGCTCTGCCCCAACAGCATGTGATGCAACTGGTCATGAGTTTACACGGGTCTACTCAGGCTGATTGAAGGGCATCAAGCATGATCTGACGATGTGACGTCACTGGTATTTAACTAAACATCAGGCGCGACGGGCCATGTTCATCTTTACCTTTCGTACCTGTCTATTGTAAGCATTGGCGTGCTGAAGGAAGACTGTGTGAAGTCTCTTGAGTGTGTAACATCACTGGTCATGAGTTTTTACAGGCTGTTTTGAACCTCCCATGGGGTAAAAGACATCAGCTGACGATATGACGTCATTGGTATTTGACTTAACCTCAGGCACAACAGGCCATGTTCCATCTTTACTTTTTGTACCTGGCTACTGTAAGCATTCGCGTGCTATATGAAAGCTCTACTGATTCACCTGAGCATTCACCCACACTCAGGATACTCGACAGAGCCTTCATTCAGCACTTCAATACTTGTAATAGACAGGTACGAAAGATAAAGATAGAACATGGCCTGTTGTGCCTGATGTTAAGTCGGATACCAGTGATGTCATATCGTCAGCTGATGCATTATACCATATAGGGGCTTGAAATGAGCTGGTAAAAAGTATTGACCAGTGACGTTACACACTCAGGCGACTCGACAGAGCCTTCATTCAGCACGCCAATACTTGTAATAGACAGGTACAAAAGGTAAAGATGGAACATGGCCTGTCGCGCCCAGTTTAGTCGAATACCAGTGACGTCATATCGTCAGCTGATGCTTGATGTCCTTCAGTCAGCCCACGTAAACCCGCATAAACTCATAACTAATTACACCACATGATCAGGTAATTCGGCAGAGCCTCTATGTGTCATGCGAATACTTGCAGTAGATAGGTGCGAAAGATACAGATGAAAAATGGCTTATTGTATATTATGTTTGGTTGAATACCATTGACGTCATGTTATCTGATGCCTAATGGCGTTAAGTCGGTCCAAAAAGGCCCGTAAAAACTCATGGTCAGTGACGTCACATGCTCAGTGAACTACCAGTGACAACATACTGTTAGCTGATGCTTTATGGCTTTCACTCAGCCAAAAATAACCTGTAAAAACCCAAGACGTCATACACTCAGGTGACTTGACAGAGTGATCATTCAGCTTGCCAATACTTTTACAGGTACGAAAGGCAATGATGGAACATGACCCGTTGCGCCTAATTTTAAGTCAAACACCAGTGACGTCATATCATTAGCTGATGCATTATACCACATAGGGGGTACAAAAGATCCCATAAAACCCTCTTGACCAGTGACGTTACACTCGGGAGATTCGACAGAGCCTGCATTCAGCACGCCAATATTTCCAAGAGACAGGTATGAAAGATAAATATTTGCATGACCTGCTGCGCTTGATGTTAAGCCAAATACCAGTGATGTGATATCTTCCCGCGATACTCCACGGGATATGATGCTCTGTGGCCTTGGGCGGCCCAAGTGAACCAGTATAAACTCATGACCAGTGACGTCACACACTGAGATGATTCAGCATCACCTTGATGTAGCACTCAAATGCTTGCAGTAGATAGGTACAAAAAGTAAAGATAAAGCATGGCCTGTTGAGCATGTCTAGTCAAAACCCAGTGACGTCATATCGTCAGCTGATGCCTCGTGATCTATAGTGGTTTCAAAAGAGTATACAAATTAATGGTCAGTGATGTTACACACCCAGGTAATTCGGCAGAGCCTTCCTTCAGGACAGCAATGCTTGCAATGGACAGGTACCAAAGGTAAAGGTGGAACATGGCCTGTTGCGCCTGAAGTTTATTTGAATACCAGTGACATCACATCGTCAGTTAATGCCGTATGACCTTTCGTCGGCCCAAAACAGGCCGTAAAATCTCATGACCAGTGACATCACACACAGTCGAGTGCCAGTGACGTCACATCATCAGCTGATACTTTATAGTCTTCAGTTGGCCACAAACAAATCCGCCAATACTTGCAGTAGACATGTACAAAAGGTGTAGATGGAGCATGGCCTGTTGCCTGATGTTTAGCCGAATACCAGTGACGTCATATCGCCAGCTGATGCCTTATGGCGTTTCATAGGTCCTAAAGGGCCCGTGAAAACCCACGCCCATTGACGTCTTACAATCAGTCGTATAGCAGTGACGTCGTTAGCTGACACCTTGTGGCCTTCAGTTGGCCCAAAAGCACTGGTGAAACTCATGACCAGTGACGTCACACACTCAGGTGGTTCGGCAGCTTTCATCCAGCGCGCCAATGCTTGCAGTAGACAGGTACAAAGGTCAAAATGAAGCACGGCCTGTTGCGCCCAGTATTTATCTAAATACCAGTGACGTCACGCTATCCGGTGATACTTCGCGGACCGTGACAAACCCTGGCCATGGGGACTAAGTGCGCTCGTACGAAGCGATGATTAGTGACGTCACACACTGAGGTGATTCGGTCAATGCTCGCAGCAGACAGGTACAAAAAGTAAAGATGGCACGAGGCCAGTAGCACCTGATGTTTAATCGAATACCAGTGATGACACACTGTCAGCTGATGCCTTATGGCATTCAGTGGACCCAAAAGAGCCTTAAAAACTCACAACCAGTGACGTCACAAACCCAGCTGAATACCAGTGACATATCACCAGCAAAAGCCTTATGGCCTTCAGCTGGCCCAAAAGAGCCCCAATCCCGATTGATGCAAAACCATTTTCAGTGATGTCACAGTGTAGCTGACTGCCTCGCATTTCTCCAGCACGACAGTACTCAAAACCTTGCAGCCAGCATAGCCCTTCCCTGTCGGCTGTACAGGTACCAAAGCAAAAAATTACCACACTGACTTAAGGAGCTAGAAAATTTTTAAAAATTGCAAGCAGCCAATTTCTATGGCAATCACAGAGACCTGCCAGAGCATGGTATTTATTGTCATCCCATGCTAAAGAACTTCCTGCCATGCCAGCCGTGAATAGGGCAAATTTACTTTTTTTGTTCTCACTACAAGCTGTGGTTGTAATTTTTCTTCTCCCCCAAGAGCCAAAACCAAATTTCAGATACTGTATCTGCCAGCAAATATTTTCATTTTGAGACTGGCACTGGGTAATTCACAAGCTGAGGGTGATGTAACCAACTGACTGCAGCAACCACAGAATGCAACAATTGGGTCATTATAAAGTGACCACGCATGCCTGCATTACACTAACGCAGGGTGAAATTGCAAGATTTTGACGCATTCGCCGCACCGGCAGCTGAGGTGGCGTAACACCGCCATTCACATGCTAGAAAAAACCCTTCCATAGTTACACTATCCAACTAAACAAAATGCCAAACGAAACGAGATGGAAAGTGGACCAAACTTCGTCCTCACAACTCACCTCACGGTCGCTCATATCTGATCACAGAGCCTTGCCACAGCGCAACTCAATCCACCCACAAAGCCCCCGTCCGAAGGCACCACGCCAGAAAGACGTGAAAAGCCGTGTTCAAATCAAATGGAAAAATTAGGGAGCTAAGTCACAGCTTGACCAAACACATCCCCAACAGACTAATCGCACGACCAAACCCAGCAACCCCAAAGCGATGAACGCCTCGACAAGATGGCGTCCCTGAGCAGCGTGTCAACGCGCGCGCAGATGTAGAGGTGATTACAAACCGGATGTTAAAAGATGATTCAACGTTTTATTTAAAAAAGAAATCGACACGACTCGAGACATAAATGAAAGATCATTTGTTTGCACGTAATTTTTTGGCAATAGTTTTAAGTTGCTTAGGAATCAAAAAGTTGTATTTATTTGCCGCCGTCAATTGTCAGCGCTTTTATGGCAAGGCAAGGTTTTAACGAGCTCGACGCATTTGCGGCGAAATTTGTTTTCGTTGAATTGCTGGTATTGTGCTTACAGAATGCTACCCGGTTTAACCCAAAATAAGGAGGCGAACTGTGCAATCGCCTTGGTAATGCCACGGTTCTTGCAGATATGTATTGCCATAGTGATAAAGCCAGGTTAAAGAGCACGTGAAGAACGTCCGGCCCGCCTCTCGTTCACCGTTTTCTGACTTGTCTGATTAATATTCCTAATGCCGGTTTGGTTGCGTGAACTCTAGAAGGTGGTAAAACATTCCTTTCACAAGGCATTTCACAAACAAGGCATTCGGGCGGTAAAACATTCCTTGACAGGTGCTGGTATCTCACTGGTATCTTTGAGTGTTAAGTTGTTCATAGCTATGAACATGGGCATAACTTAACATACCTCCAGGGTGTGTGAGCCCCTCCCCCCCCCCTTCGTGTTTGTTTGAGCCCTCCACCTTCTCATTACTCATTTGAGCCCCTCAGAGCTTGTAAGCAGAGTGGACCACCAGGACAAATAAATACAGAACAGCTGTTGTTATGATTGGTATAATAGGTAGGGGATGTTTTGAGACCACTATAAGTATGCTGATGTTGTGTGTACCTAAATACTGCTAGCATAATGATACTTGTGTACCTACTAGTATTCTGTAGGTACCTAATGTTTTTATCTTGCTAACTCCTTCATTTGTTAAACCTGTCTGAAAGTGTTTGACAAGTTTTTCAAATGGAAAACCTGGACTGGGATAAACAACAACTGCAATATGCAGCAACTTTTAAAGTGCATGGTGGCCCGGATTTATCACGTGTTTTCCCACACAGTGGAAAGTGTGTGTCGGAGCATGATGGCTATAGTGGTTATACCATGGAATCTGAAACAGTGCCAGTCATCAGTGCTCTCTTACTATGCTTTACACATTATTAGGCATCCTCCTCATGATCTAGACTTATGGCTTTGGCTTCAGTTTTGTGTTTCTTTACATCAAAAGCAGGGGCTTTTGGTTTGTATCATTGTCTTGTTTGGGTATTTGGCTTGAAAGTCAAAAATGGGTTCAGATTCAGTCCCATCTCTGCTTCATGGAAAAATTGTGAACTCAGAGATGTCACACAAGAAAATCATATGGCTCATGAACTTCATTGGTCTGTGATTTAGACCTGCAGCTGTTGATACAACTCATAGTCCTCTTCTTGCTGAGAATTCTCTTGTCTTGTTTTCCCTCCAAGATAGATGGTTTTTCATTCATCTGGTCCTTAGCTGTTCAGCATGTTTTATTACATCCTCACAATGTCACACACTGTGCTCTTGGACATCTGAGAAGAAATTGATCGCCTTTGGTAATTTTAAGGCATGTATGGCATTGTAGACCCCAGCTTGTTCATATTCACTGATATGAGCTCTTGTTCGGTATTGTTGGTCCAAAATGATACTTATATGCAAACTAGGATTCCAAAAGTAGATAGGTGGAAACAGTGATTTCAGCCAGATAACTTGTTGGGGACTGATGTTAGGGTATGGAAGTTGTTCTGACTCAGCCATTGTACCCTGTATCATTTATGCCCAAGCCAGCACTCATGAGCCCACAGTTACTGAAAGGATTGTAACCCCAAGTTTCCCACAGTTTAGCCTCATTTCCCACTTAAATCTGCATCCCCTACACTCTGTGACCATCTGTATATGTCAAGATTATCTCTGTTTACTACCATGTGGACCCTTATAGTATTCATTGTGCACTGTGGTTCTGGTGTTTGATTGCATTGATTTGATTGACATTTGATCACACATTTCTGCCACACAATAGCATTTCTGCTATTGTTTTGATAAAAGCATGTTGCTGAAATAGCAAGTGTCTGTAGTGTCTTCAAAAAGGACACAGCTTAAGATCATTTGAAGTTATGATATACATGATGCTGATTTCAAACCACTGAGATGAGCTTAGAAGTATATGAAGCTCATTCACTGTCTCAAATAGTTCCCCATTTTATTTGCAATGCATCTGGTCTGTTATGGCATTAGCAGAACTGCTTTTGGACAAGTATGCATCTTGCCAGTATGGGAAGCAACATAAATGCTGTTGACACACCTCCCACCCATGCTTAGAAGAATCCTAGATTTATACTGCAGTAGCTGGATCATATATTTACCACATTAAAAGTATGATGTCACACTAGCTATGTCATCTAGTTCTATCATTACAAAAGTTGTTTAGTGCATTTGTGAGGAGCATTATTCACATATGTATATATATATATATATAATATATATATATATATATATATATATATATAAGACAGAAGTAATAGCCTTATTTTGTGAGGAAAAACCAGAAGAATGGAAATGTAGATGGGTTGATATTTCAGCAACATGCCTTTGTCAACACAATAGCATTTCTGCTATTGTTTTGATAAAAGCATGTTGCTGAAATAGCAACCCATCTAAATCTCTATTCTCCTGAGTTCTTTCTGTTGGAATAAGGCTATTACTACTGTTTTACCTAGTTTTATCATTGTTAACTCAATGGGACAGTGGGGAGATGGTCTGTGGTGCATTATGTGTGTCACAATGTTATGCCATGTGCAAAAGACTGTCTGTTGGGGTGTGCATGTATAAAAGAGTGGGTATCAGTGATTGCAATGCTACCTAGATGTGATCCAAATGGTTACATGGGGTGACTGTTCCCCAAAGCAATAATTAATGAGTCTTAGTGTTATGCTGTGATCTTGCAGTCATATACAGCTAAGTGAGACAGTATTCATAGCTTGTTTCTGCGTAAAATAAACAGGAGAATGGAGGGATGGACATGATATTTTGGCTACATGCCTGCAAGTTATTAACTCACACGTACATATAGGTTTGGCATGCTTGACAAACTTAGATAAGGTTTTCGAGGTGAATACATGTAGCATTGTTGCATATCTTCTGTTGGACCAAGGGGAATCTATCACGTGTGCACATGTTTTTGGTGGGAAGATACAGGATTGAACTACAGTAAATCCTGTCATGGGAACAGAATATTACAGAAAAGGTTGAAAATATTCCTCACTCTGACACTCAAAAATCCTTTTACAGACCTGATGCTGCATTAGAATGTGAGACTCTCAGCCACAGAAACTATGGCAGCTTTGGCTCCATCTGTCTCCAAGGAGAAGGTTGCTGGCCTTGTCAATGGTTTTCTGGTATGTGGCAATAAATTTAATTGTCATAACATATAAATCCATCCAACATGGTAATTACAGTACTCAGTGAGCAGCTAGCAGTTAGCCAGCAGTCAATATTGTGCTCACAGTCAACATCACTTCACCTTGGTCTTTTGTCCCTATTCAAAGCCATTTTTTTACTTAACACATTGTACCAAACTGAGCCTTGATGATTGTGTTTGCACAATACCAGCATGCCCTGTCCATCTGGCTCTCATACTTCTGTGGATCCCACAGTGTGTCGAGGCTGTGGATGAAGACTTGAACAGCTATCTGGTGCACCATGACGAGAATGAAAACAACAAGCTGCAGACGTTTGAGCAGGAGCTAGTCCCGCCTGCTGGCTGGCTCTCCACCTGAGGAGGTGGAACTCATCCTGCTGGCCTTCATAGGTAAAGAGGCTGTGCTGGGCTTGTGTCATCAGGGTATTGTTGAGTGTGCTCTGGTATGCAGCAGTTAACTAGGTGTGCATAGACACTGGTGGAATGGGTGCTGTGTTTGTGTTTGATATGCCATGCCACTAGGATACCATGCCTTGTAGCCTGTTGCATAATATATATATATATATATATATATATATATATATATATATATATATATAGCTATCTCATATTCACCTTAATTCAAAATAGCTCATAAGCTCATAATTATTCTGAAATACCAGCCAGTTGGTAGTGACCCTGGTGTGTTCCACATCACCACAGCATGCCCCAGAGTGTGCACCATGTGTCACATCCCAACACCATTCACTGAGGAATCCCATCATTGTTTATTTGTAAGCACACCACCAGTGGCTTTTCAGCACAGTGACATTATGGATGGTGGTCAGTGTTGAGAATAATCCCATGCCATATCATTTCATTAAGGGCAATGCCAAAAGAACATGTGCAATGAACTGTGCCATGTGCTGTAAGCACGACCCAAATAAGCGTCACCTGACTGACGTGGTGACTGGGTGACACCTGTGGTTCTGTGGTCTTTCGTCACCGTGTGAGCTCGTTTGCCATCCGCCGCAGGTCAAGTGTCCGAACAGTCGGACAAGCGGATGCGGAAGCTGCTGGCCGTGCTGGAGCGCTGCGTTCTGTCTGGTGTCCTGCCGGCCAAGTAAGTGCGGCGTCCTGTCTGGTGTGCCCTTCGACCGCTGCTGCTGCGGCTACATCGGTGATGAGGCCCCGCTCCGGTCCTCACGCCGCTCTCGCGTCCACAACGTCCTGTCGGGTGTGCCCGTCGACCGCTGCTGCTGCGGCCACATCGGTGATGGGACCCCGCTCGGGTCCTCACGCCGCTCTCGCGTCCACAACGCCTGGGGAGGAATAACGCGGGCCTGGCTGGCATTTTAAGTCATCAGGCGAAGGCGTGCAGTCTGACAAACAGATGCCAGCGTTAGCAGGCGAAGGCGTGCAGTCTGGCAAACAGATGCCAGCGTTAGCAGGCGAAGGCGTGCAGTCTGGCGAACAGATGCCAGCGTTAGCAGGCGAAGGTGTGCAGTCTGGCAAACAGATATCAGCGCTAGCAGGCGAAGGCGTGCAGTCTGGCAAGCAGGTGCCAGCGTGAGCGTCAGCCGGTTGAACGTCGACGCTGTGTTTGAGACTCGCTCGCCTCCCCGAGGAACGATCTCGATCGATCTCAAACGATCTCGGGAGGCGTGTGGCCTGCGCTGCCGCCCCAGCAGGATGAGACCCGTGTTGTCCTGAGCCATTACCGGCGTCGTTGTTGGAGATGCAGTCTTTCCTCCTTGGGACGAACAACAAATAATTGTCGTAGGGCGTCGTGATGGTAAATAACAATTTTTAGTGACCCAGTGACGTACACAAAAATGCATCAAGTAACATGTTTTTGTGATGGAACTGTGATGTGCCGCCAGATTTCAGTACCATGTTATTTTCACCATATTGCTCAAACTTGCCCACATCTGCTAGCTGGTCATGCAGTTTTTATACCATTTCCGATGTGTAGATTAAGCATGCATTGCCACAGCACTGGCCCCTGCTCGCGGTTCAACGGTCACGAGTCGTTTATCCCCAGGCTGTTATGCGATGACCTCCTGGCCAATGAGCAGCTGTCTGTGACGCGGCGGGACCTCTGGACCGAAACGTTCCTCCTGCTGCGCCGAGTCATCTACAAGGTCGACTACAAGGGTGTCCGCGAGATCATGAAGGTGCGTGGCACGAGGCGGCGGCCGATACGGCCTGTTGGCCCGAGCCTTCGCAGTGCCGGTGAGCTCCGGTCACCTGTGGTGCGTTAAGGCGGTTCAGAGGTGCCGCGTTGTGCTGTTCCGGTTCGCTTTGTCCGGCATGTCAGCCAGGCGTCACTTGTTCTGGGTTTCATCCGCACGCGACTCGTAGACAGCTGTAACAGCGGGGCTGGCAGGAGCAGATTGCGGGGAGGAGGATCTGATGCTCGATCCGAGGGCAGGGGCAGATTGTGGGTAGGATGATCCGATCCTCGATCCGATGGCAGGGGCAGATTGTGGGTAGGATGATCCGATCCTCGATCCGAGGGCAGGGGACAGATTGCGGAGAGGATGATCTGATCCTCGATCCGAGGGCAGGGGGGAGATTGCGGAGGATGATGATCTGATCCTCGATTCGAGGGCAGGGGCAGATTGCGGGGAGGATGAGTGATCCTCGATCCAAGGTCAGGGGCAGATTGCGGGGAGGATGATCTGATCCTTGATCCGAGGGCAGGGGCAGATTGCCGGGGAGGATGATCCGGTCCTCGATCCGAGGGCAGGGGCGATTGCGAGGCGGATGATTCGATTCCTCGATCCGAGCGTGTCAGATCAGTGGGCCACCGTTAGGGTGATTCTGTTCCTGTCCTTCGACCTTAGACAGCCTGGCAGACCCGGGTCCTCGCAGATCGCTGAGCCCCTCCCGCTCGCCGCTGTGGATCCACTCACGTCAGCGGCTGACTCCCCCTCCCTGCTGCGCTCGGGTCCAGCCGCTCACCGCTCGTGACCCACCCAGTCCGCCGCCGCAGGTGTGCCTCGAGCGCGCCCGCCAGCTGCCGCCTGAGATCAGCGAGGCGGTGGCCGACCAGTTCCACGCACTCTACAGCGTCATCCAGCACATCTTCGACCGCGAGGCGGCCCTGCTGCCGGCGTACTTCATCGTCAACGAGATCGTGCGATCGTACCCGGACTGCCGGGGGTTTCCGCACTGGGTGAGGCGCCGGACAGGGGGCACGCGCGCAGCTGCCGGCTCGTGGCCGGGACTCTGTGGCCAGGAGTCAAAGGAAGCTCGGCCTAATGATTGGGACTCAGTGGACCTAAGGACTCGCTGCGCCTGTCGCCGGCGACTCGTGCGGGGTAGCATCGTCGTGGCCCGAGTCGTAGTCACGATAAAAAGAGTGTCTGGTGTCTAGAGACCCAGTGCTGAGTGTATGGGGTGTGAGTAGTGGGCAGTAGTGAGTAATATGGGCATTAAAAAAAGGACGCTTGGCGTCAGGGTCGGACATGTTGCCGTGGTAGGAGTCTGATGTGATACCATGTAGCAGCGTGTCACGTCCTGCTCGCTTCAAAAGACTGGAAGGGCGTGGAGAGCATCACGCGGTTCCTGTGAATAATCATCTGTACTCTGTCCATGTCGCTCCATGTAGTCGGCTAGCGATGGGCTTTTGAAGTATTACCGAGTGGTTTGAAATATCCCCGTGTAACTGCATCGAATGTATCATGAATGACTACCGAATTTCGCGCAATTAGCTGTTTGGAATGTGGCTTGAATAACTTTGCGACACCATTTGTATCACGTCTCGCCGAGTTAAATTATTCAAGTCTTGCTCAGGTGGCTGTGTAGGCATCTGTTACAAATCATTCGTCGTGGCTTCGTGCGTGAGTTTCGCACTCGCGTGATTGGCTGATCCAAGCCTGGGGTGGCGCCGTGCTGACCCTGGCCGTGTCCGTTTCCCCGCGAGCGGCCGTGTCCGTTTCACCGCGAGCGGCCGTGTCCGTTTCCCCGCAAGCGGCCGTGTCTGTCTCCCCACAAGCGGCCGTGTTCGTTTCTCCGCAAGCGGCCGTGTCCGTTTCCTCGCGAGCGTCCGTGTTCGTTTCTCCGCAAGCGGCCGTGTCCGTTTCCCCGTGAGCGGCCGTGTCCGTTTCCCCGCAAGCGGCCGTGTCCGTTTCCCCGTGAGCGGCCGTGTCCGTTTCTCCGGGAGCGGTTGCACCGCCGGCCCGACCTCAGCGCGCCTCGCCGTCCGTCGACAGAAGCTGGCCGGTCTGCTGGAGGCGTTCATCGCCTCGTTCCGCAGCACCGCGCAGATGGTGACAATGATCGGCCGACAGCACATGCTGCCCATCGTGGAGCACGCAGGTGACTGCCGGTGGACGCCCCGCCCTGGCTGGGGTGGACGCTGCTGACCTGGCTGGGGTGGACGCTGCTGACCTGGCTGGGGTGGACACTGCTGACCTGGCTGAGGTGGACACTGCTGACTATGCTGGGGTGGACGCTGCCGACCTGGCTGGAGTGGACGCTGCCGACCTGGCTGGGGTGGATGCTGCTGATCTGTCTGGCGACGAACACGCGTTGCCGGCGGACCTGGACAGCGTCTCCCTTGGCGGTGTGTTTCGTGGACCGTGGACGAACCGTAGGGCCTCGTTCGATGGCGTCAACGGGGCCGTCGGTCCTCCCAGTGCCCCGGCCTCGTCTCATCTTGTCTCGTGGCTGTCCTAGTTGGTTGTGTCGTGAAGTGGCTATAATTTGTTGAGTTCGGCACAAGTCCGCGCGACGACGGTGGGTTTTTCCCAGCCAGTGGTTCAGTGCGCCATCCGCTGTCAGTCCTTCATCGCGTCTCTGTCCCTGTCACCTACTATAGCGCTCGTGGTCGGTGTTTGGTGCTCGGGCCGGTGGCCACGGTTTGGCTCACAGTCCGTGACCTCGCGTTGACCCGGACTGCGTGCGATGTACCAGCTAGATGGGGCAAGGGGGCCTGTTGAGCGACGTGGCACCGTCAGCACATATCTTGCTAGACATCCACATTCGGTAGGGAAACCGCCTTGATTCGCGAGGGTGTTGATGAATGGCACGCCTGACGACTGTGGGGCTCAGGGCAGCAGGACCTGAGAAAATCACACGCGTCACGGTTGTCGTAGTCCGTCACACCCTCCCGAAATGCGGCCGGCGCTGGCTGACGGCAGTCAGCGGGCCGCCGGCCCGGCTCGCCGCGCCCTGTAACGCCGGCGCCGGTGTGCGGTCTGCAGCGCAGCCGGCCAGCTCCTGGAAGCTGGACCAGACCACGCTGCGCTTCCCGGTGAAGGGCAACCTGCCGTACGAGCGGGCGGTGCTGCAGCCGCAGCGGGCGCTGCTGATGCACATGGTGCGCCAGCCGTACAGCCGCGAGATGGTCTGCTCCGTTCTCGGCCTGCAGAAACAGGTGCGCAGCCAGCCACGTGGCCGACCGCCGCCACCGAGCTGCGCTCCACACATGCTCGGCCCGTCGATGGCGGCGTTTGTGGAGGGGGCTGCTTTTGAAGTGGTAAATCTGGACCTATAAATGTATTGGCTTGTTTTACGGCGCCTTTGGGATTTCTAGTGTATTTCGCTTCACGTGAAATTACAGCTGCAGTGTTGTTTTATCAATCGACTCAGGCAAACAGGATGACCGTTTGTTTCACAGCCTGGCTAAGCCAAGTCTGAGCTCGGATAAAACTCGGATGAAGCCAAGCTCGAAACCTGGACTCCAGCTGTCGATCTTCCTATTGAGTCCATTTCTCGGACCTCGTGTTGTGGAATGTCTGGCAGCAGTTCCAGGCGTATGAGTCGCTGAAGGAGCCTACGCTGCTGCAAAGATTGTGGTTCGTGTCAAATCATCACCATGTTGTGGTGTATTACAGCAAAAGCAGCGATGTCCCAGCTTGGAGGACATCTTGGTGGACCTGATTGTGACGTCGATGGAGCAGATGGAGAACTGTAACACCGACGACTTCCGCGAGAGGGCGGCCCAGCTGTGGCAGCACATATCGGCCCAGCTTATCTACTTCGTTGTTTTCTACTTCGCCGACTTCGCACAGCTTATGATCAAGCTGCGCAAAAAGGTACCTGCTGGCCGTTCAAACCGTTTAAATTAGTTTAAATCTTCAGACGTAGCGATGCCCGGCATGTGGAACCATCCACAAGCAATGGTGCTATGGGGATCTCAAGTGCAAATAAGGCAAATAAGTCATTAGCATAAGGTGGGCCGGATTATTCGCCGCCTATTCACCTATTCATCTATTCGGTGATGCGAACCAGCTGAATAATGTACCGTTTACCTAGGCTATTGTTAACATGTTACGTTGCTGTGTTTAATAGGCAAGCTGCCATATTCACCTTTCTGGACGGGATGCAGTCGCTGGCAGATACCGCTGTGGTCTGCTCGAATGTCGTCTGACACCCGTGCTTGCCATGACGCTGCCTGACACACCCCGTGCGTGCACTGACACCATCGGCCGCCGCCGCCGATGGCACACCACCTGACACCTGTGCTTACCATGGCGCTGTCTGGCACACCCTGCGCGTGCACTGACACCATCGGCGCCCGCCGCCGATGGCACTACACCACCTGACGCCTGTGCTTGCCATGACGCGGCTGGTGTTGTCCGGCAGCTCAAGGGCCGACGCTGGGACAACAGTCGTGACCACCTGATGTGGATTCTGCTCCACTACATCTCGGGCAGCATCACCAAAAATGCGGTACGTGCTGTCCCGTGCGGAACCGTCCGGCCGACACTAGGACTCTTGGGAGCTGACGGCGACGGTGATCGGTGTGTGGCCGGCCGGTGTGATAATCTGCGGCCCGTCAGGACCGCTGGCTGTTGCTGCTGCCGCCGTTTCCTGTCCTTTCGCCTGTTCCGGTCTTGTGGAACAGCGGCTGACTGACGTGTTTCTGGACGATGACGCCATCAGTGACGTCAAGGGATGTCTAGCTGTCGACCGCGTACAGTCTCCGAAACTCTGTAGTCCCCCCCCCCCCCCTCCCCCTGTGGAATGGACGTGCTCCCCTGTGCCCTCCCCAACTAATGGGCGTGCTCCCGTGAGCCTTCCGTCAGATGAATCTGTCTTCCTGCATCCTCCCCATCTGACGGGCCTGTTTTCCTGCGCCCACCCTCCCTATCTGACGGTGCTGTCCCCTGGCCCGCCCAGCTGGCCGGGTTCCTGCCGCTGCTCGGCCTGCTGACGTACCTGTACGGCGCGGACTCGACGCCGATCCCGGTGCCGGACTGCTCCCGGCCCGACGCCGCCGTCCAGATGGCCGCCGTCAGCATCTGGACGCACCTGCAGAAGAAGGCGCAGGCCGACCACGTGGAGCTGCCGGTGCGGCTGCCGGCGGCGCTGCAGCCGCGGCACGAGCTGCTCCATCAGCTGGTGAACATGGGCCGGCCGGCCTCGCTGGAGCGTGACTTCCGGCTGGCGCTGGTCTGCAACGCCTTCAGCACGCACGCCGACCAGATGCAGCGCCACCTCAACGTGCTGACAGAGGCGATCCAGGTTAGCACCCCGATCCAGGGGGGTGGAGGTGGGCGCCGTGGGGAAGTCTGCCGCGGGCTGGGATGGCTCGATTGGTTTGTGGAGTGGTGTCTGATGTTGATGAAATGTGCAGAGAGCCATATTGTTTGTTGGTGTTTTCGGGCGCGCCGACTGCAGTGAGCATTTGGCGTGTGAAGACATTATCCATAGCGTAGGACGAGCACCATACCTCATCCCACTAGCCCACAGGGCACACTTCCTCCTTAATATCTGGCCGCCGCTATCGCACACGTTCCAGGCAGCTGGCGCAGCCGCCGTTCTCAACTGCGCCGCAGCGGCGGCTGTCCTTGCCTGGCCTTGGGGAGGGGGAGGGGGGGGGGGGCGACTGGCGGTGGCGCCCGCTCACAGGTCACCGCGTGCCGGCAGGGCGGCGCCCAGCGGAGCACGGTCAGCATGCCGGGCACCAACTGCTTGGCCAGCTATCCCACGGCGCCGCTCAGCATGGCCCTGCTCGACTCGCTCACCATCCACGCTAAGATGTCGCTCATCCACGCGATCTCGGTGCACATCTCGAAGACGGCTCAGGCGCCGCAGCACAAGCTGGGCGCGGCGGCCAGCCCCGCGCTGCCGCCGGCCATGGTCGAGACGTACGCCCGCCTGCTGGTGTACGCCGAGATCGACACGCTCGGCATCAAGAACCTGACAGGTGCGGCGGAGGGGGCGACCCGCGCAGCTCCCTCGTGGCATGCGCTCACTAGATGTCACACCGCCCGAAGTTGTAGCTGATAGCTGTGTGCTGAATGAAAACCGTCGACATGTTAACGAAACGCAACCTTCGACACGCTACCTTAATGAAGTGTTCGATTTGAAAGCTGAGTGCACTGCTTTCGTTTTTCCGTTCACCGGCGATGACTTTGATGTGCCACCCCTCACACCGGGCTAAAACTTGGCGCCTGCCGTCTGACCGACGGAGCTCCTCCCGCACCTGACACTGGGCGTCTCTCATGTCCCCTTCTCAGCTGCTCTCGAATCGGACTTCGACGCAGTAGCTGTTTCGCTGGACTTCGCTCCCTTCTCAGTGCGACTCAGAATCTTTTACATCAAATTCGGACTCAATTCTTGTCAGCGCCTGTAGCCTCTGTCCGGCACGCCGACCCGTGCTGACCGTCCCCCCCCCCCCGTCCCCAGCCACGCTGCTGCCGACAGTGTTTAAGGCGCACGCCATGGGCATCCTGCACACGCTGCTGGAGATGTTCAGCTGCCGGCTGCGGCACGTGCAGCCCCACTACCGGCTCTCTCTGCTCGGCTCCGTGCACTCGCTGGCCAACGCGCCGCAGACCAACCAGACACAGATGCACCTCTGGTACGGCCGACCGGGGCGACGCCACTGGGGGCCGAGCCGGGCGGGTGACGGCCGCCCTGCGTTTGGGGCAGCTGTTCACTCCGACTCGGGTGTCGCCGACGTTTCATTCAACAACGCCATTGCGTCGAGCGGAGACGCGGGCCCAGGCCAGCGCTCATGGCTTTCAAAGAGCATCTCTGAGACACGCGAGTTGAAGGGAATAATTTTGGTGCCAGGGGATTAATAATTTTGTTTTAATTTTGTCGTTTTTGTCGATAATTTTGGTGTCGAGTACAGCGTGTGGGACGTGCTGTGACATAGCGGGGCCGGTGGCGTGCGGTGCGCCGAGTCACAGAGGCCGGCTGGGCTGACTCCCGGCCGCTCCGCAGCCTGGAGAGCACGGCGCTGCGCATCATCAGCGGCCTGGGCAACTCCGAGATCCAGACGCAGCTGGCGCGCCTCGTTAGCGAGCCCAAGTCGATCGTTTCCTCCGACTCGGAGGAGCTGAATCGCGCGCTCGTGCTCAGCATCGTGCGCGCCCTGCACATCGCAGGTGAGACGGGCGCCGCCGCCGCCGCCGCCTCTGCCGCCGCTGCCGCCGTCGCTTCCGCCGCCGCCGCCGCCCCCGCCGCCGCAGTAACCGGGCCGGCGCTCAGCTTGTGCCGCCGCCAGCGCGTGTCCGCGTGCGGCTGCCGCGCCCCGCCACTAACGCGCCCGTGTCTGCCCGCAGGCTGTGACGTCCGGCCAGGTAGGCGGCCCGGCCCGGCCGGCACCAGGCGCCGTGCGCGCGTGCGCGCCCGCCGGCGCCCTCTCCTGCCCTCGCTCGCTTGTAGCTGCTGTCCTGAACTGCTGTAGTAGCTCCGTGGGCCTGGCTTGCACTTGTCTTGCGCGTCGGCTGACGGGGCTCGTTTTCAGCCGTCGGTGTTGTAGCTCCTCGTAGATCTCTTCGGAATGCTGTATGGTTGTCTGCAGTCTCGAAGTGACTATGCGGCTTGTGCGAAGCCGCTTCTCATGAGCAGCTCTGGTCTATCTGAACTATCTCGGTATCAGGGGTTTCCTTTTCCTCTTAAAACTTTGCCTGCAGTGATCGCTCGATTTGGTTGAAAACCTGGATTTATGGCTGGACAGTCAACGTTTTGGGTGATCAATTATTAGTCCACGATAATGCCTCATAAAGATTTCGCGACTGACGAACATTGCACTAAATATTTTCTTATTCAGACGCAAACGGATGGCGCCAGTTGCCTTTTTCATACAACATGAACAGATGCCGTATAAGCCATTAGTGCATATGCCGCGGAGTGGACGCCAATATGAGTCGTTCACTCCAGGACGCCTGACACGACGTGCCATGGTGCTCCAACGTGTCAAGCGGCGGCATCCTCGTGCGCCGTGCGGCGGCGCCTGCTGCCGGCCGGCTGTGTGTGGTGACGGACGGCGCGCGCGGCAGGGAACGACGGCCTGGCGGGCGTGTGGTGCCGCGACATCCTGCTGGCCGTGATGCAGGCGACGCCGCACGTCTGGCCGCGCCACACGCTGGAGCTGTTTCCGGCGCCCGTGCGCGACTTCTTCAACCAGTACCCCAGTCAGCGGGACGACAAGCAGCAGCTGAGGGTGCGCGGCGCTGCGGTGGGCGCGCCCCGCCCGGCCCGCTTGGGAGGACAGGCGGCGTGTCAGCCGAGCTCGTCATGGCCGGGGCGGTGGCTTAAAACAGCCGCGGGGGGCGTGTGCTGATGACGAGGCGTTAATCCTGGGGAGGGAAGGGGGGGGGGGGGGCGCAATCTCGCGTGTGCGGGCGAATAGGGCCGAGGGACATGTGGTGCTTGTGTGGTGACATAAAAAGCCGTGGGTCAGTAACGAGAGGCAGAGGTCAAGAGAGGATCGTTTTTTCATCTGTTGCACTTTCCTTGAAGGGAGAACAAACTCTGTTTTGTTTTTGGACTGACCTGTCCATCCGGTTGCCAGCTGATCCGATGCTGAATCTCGCTGGTCGTGCCTGATGACTGCAGTCTGCAATGTTCCCATTTCAGAACAGGGTCGACGAGGAGTACCGGAAGTACATGTCCATGAACAACGAGAACGATATCATCACGCACTTCACCATCCAGGGCCAGCACCCATTCTTCATCTGCCTTCTGTGGAAGATGCTGGTCGAAACCAATCGCATCACGCCCATCGCCTACAAGTGAGTCGGGTGCTGAGACACGCGCCGAGCTGCGTGAACAGCGTCCAAGGCCGGCGGATCTGATGGACCCGGCCTTCTGTGGACCTGTTCCGTACAGCGCAGCGTATCGCGGTGCTGACATCGGTGTAATCAGCCGGCGCACTGCTGTGGTATGGTGGATACTGACCCGTTACGGCGGGTACTGGCCGGTGCGGCGCGTACTGGCCCGGTACAACGAGCAGTGGCCCGGTACGGCGAGTGCTGGCCGGTGCGGCGGGTACTGGCCGGTACGGCGGGTACTGACCCAGTACGACGGGTGCTGGCCCGGTACGGCGGGTACTGACTCGGTACGGCGAGTACTGGTCCGGTACGGCGGGTACTGACCCGGTACGACGGGCGCTGGCCGGTACGGCGGGTACTGGCCCGGTACGGCGGGTACTGACTCGGTACGGCGGCTACCGACTCGCTACTGGTTTCCACCACACCGAAATACGCAGGTCCACTGGTAACTCTCGCACAGTCCGCTGGCGTACACAGCTAGATGTGGTCCGCATGTACTCGTGCAGCTGTCGCCAAAGCTGCGGTCGCTGCCGACGGTAGGGTCGGCGTCGCGTGCGTCCTCCGGTGTCGGCTGTACCGTCGACCCGCCATCTTAACATGAGCGGACCCCACCGGCCGCTGCCCCTCGCGGTGTGTGCGGCAGAGGCCAGAAGCCCTGCCTGCCGCGGCCTGTGGGATGGTTGGCTCGGTCCTGTCGTGACCTGACCTGACCTGACTTCGGCGCTGGCGCAGGGTACTGGAGCGCGGCGGGCCCAAGGCGCTGACCGTCCACTTGCGCACCTTCTGTGACTACCTCATCCACGTGTTCAGCAACTCTCCAGACGGCGGCTACTTGAAGAAGTGCGTGGACGGCGTGCATAAGCTCATCTGGACGTACAACGTCATCACCGTCGACCGGCTCATCCTGTGCCTGGTGAGGTCACGTCCCGTCTGGCGGCCTGGTGCGGCCGGGCGAGAAGATAGACCAGCCCATGCGCGACGACGAGCTCGGGCCTGATTTGGGAAGGCACGCGAGCTTTCGAGTGCCGTATCGGCCATATCTGCCCCGGTTGTTCGCAAGACAGGCTTTTGTGGTGGTGAACGCGCATGCTCATGTGAACTCGACAGTCCAACCGTGCGTGCCGTCTGGCACGGAGGCCGCAGATGTGATAGCTCGGCTGGCGTGCGGCGCGCCACGGGGCGCGTGCCGTGCGGTGACGCGCGGTGGGGTCATGCCGGTCCGCCGGCGAGGGGCGCGCGCACTGACCTGTCGCCTGCCGCAGGTGTTGCGACCCAACGAGCCCAACGAGCTGCGCGTCTGCTTCTTCCTGATCCAGATGCTGGTGCTCACGCCGCCTTCCGAGTTCATCGAGCGCATCAAGAAGTTCGTCTCGGAGAACGACCCGCGCCACTGGCAGCAGGACAACTGGTGAGTGGGCCGTCTGTGCGGCCGGCCTTCCCGAGCCGTCAGACGGACCCGGCGCGTCCAGAGCCGGACAGTCGACTTCTCCCGCCGCGGCGGCCACCGGCGGAGGACGCCGGCGAGTCACATGCTGCTGCCCACTGATACCATGATGACGTGGGACGGTTTTCACGAAAGCCAGCGATTTGACGCGCCGCGCGCGGTGCCGTGGTCACGATAACCAGCGTCCGGCCACACCAGCGTCGCCCTCGGCGCCCGTCTGTACGCCTGCGCCGTGTGGTGAGCTGTGACTGACCGGGCGCCTGCTGTCTCGCTGCGTCTCGTCCCCGCCCGGAGAGTGGTGCTCAGCGGTCGGCCGTGTCACCAGGCACGAGAAGCACCTGGCGTTCCATCAGGCCTTCCCCGAGCGGTTCGCGCCCGAGGACGTGCTGGCGGAGCAGCAGAGCAAGACGGCTCAGGCGTACCAGAGCCTGCCGGTCTACTTCAGCAACATCTGCTTCCGCTTTCTACCGGTGCGTCAGCTCCGAGCGGCGCCCCGACCTATGAGGCGCTCGCTGCGGGAGATGAGCTCCAGTGGGCACAGATGACATTCTAGCTTTCTTTTTTTACTGCTACGGTCTCATCCCTCGCTATCACGACGTAAGACACGCAACCAAGACGGCAGCTTAGTCAGCCGTTGGATCTGGACATTGGAAATGCCCAGTTCATTGCTCAATGTTTGCCTTGCTTGCGGATTATGAGAAAAGTATACGGGCGGGAGGCACAGAATGGCCGAGCACTCGCCGAGAATAGAGACTGGTGACTTCACGGATGAAGCCGTGACGAAAGACAATTGTGACCTGATGGCCTGGTCTGCAAATGCCGGCCGGTTGCGACCTGTGGAGGCTGACCCATGCCTGATAGCAGGCCGTGACCTGGCGACCCGAACAGTGGTCCAACGATCTCTGCAGTGTGGCACGCCCGACGGTCGGTTCTGACCTGGTGGCCCGAGCTGACCTGATGGTCCGTACAGGGTCGGGCCGTCGGTTGTGGACAGGTGAGCTGACCTGTGTCCCCCGGTCTGCAGGTGTTCGACATTTTGATCCAGAGGATCCTGGAGTGTCCGCAGGGTGACGCCATCGGCCTCATCCTGGACCAGATGGGCAGCCTGTACAAGTTCCATGGTGAGACCATTTGTCCAGCCGCGGTGGGCAGCCCCCCCCCCCCCCTTCCCCCTTACTGTGTGGCGCGTCGTGACGGCACTGGCCTCACTGTGCGACGGAGCGCGGCCTACGTCACTTGATAGGGGCTGCTCGGGCACGGCGGGGACCGGAGCCTGTCAGGCGATTACGCTGCGCCGCGTGTTTTCGACCCCACCAGCTGCTTCGGTCGGGTGGCGCGGCCACCGCTGGCGTGCTTGGCCTTGCCGTCAGCTCGTGCCTGCGCCTGACTCCTTTCTCCCCGGCAGACCGGCCTGTCACCTTCCTGTACAACACGCTGCACTACTACGAGAAACCGCTCTCCGAGTGGCCGCAGATCAAACGCAAGCTAGTGACGGTCATCATCGACTCGCAGGCGGACGTCAAGCCCAAGGGCTGGTGTCTGACGGAAGAGTTCGAGGCGTATCTGGCCTCGCCGACGGGCGACACCGACGAGCCGTGGCGGCCGCAGCTCGACTACTACTACCGGCTGCTGCAGCGGCTGGTGGACGCGCTTGCCGACCGGCCCGTCTTCCCCAACCTCGAGTGGCGCTTCAACGAGTTCCCCAACGCCAGCGCGCACGCGCTGCACTGCACCTGCCTGGAGGTGATGGCGGTGCCGGTGCCGCCGGCCGAGGCGGTGGCCGCGCTGCTGGAAGTCATCGTCAGCGGGTACGTGGCCCTGCCGCGCGACCAGCTGCCCGCCTGGCTCAACGCCGTCGGCCTGCTGCTGACCTGGCTGCCCGAGCCGTACTGGCGTGCGCTGACCGAGCGGCTGCTGGCCGCGCTGGCCGCGCTGCCGCCCGACGCCGACGTGTTCGAGGAGCTGCGCCTGGAGTCGCGGCTGGCCGTGTGCCAGTGCGGCGAGCCGCTGCTGCTGCTGGCCATCTCGCACGCCTTCTGGAATCACGCCACGCAGGGCCAGATCGCGGCGCTGCTGGCCGTGCTGCGCGCCCGGCTGCGCGAGCTGGTCCGCTCCGAGGTGCAGTTTGTATACGTGTGCCACCTGGTGGCGCCGTTCCTGGAGCGGCTCAACACGAGCTCCGTGTTCGAGCTCACCAAGACGCTGTACGAGACGCTCGAGGAGGTGGACAAGGCCAGCACCGAGCTGCGCTACATGGACCAGATCAGCGACATGCTCTACCACATCAAGTACATGCACACGGGCGACTCGACCAAGGCCGAGGCGGAGCGGGTGATCCGAGCCCTCAGGCCGGCGCTGCAGCTGCGCCTGCGCTTCATCACCCACCTCAACCTGGACGAGATCCCCGGCATGGAGGAACAGCAGCAGACGCCGCTGTCACAGCCGCCCCCGCAGTGAGCGGCACGGTGCCCCGGGGCGGCAGACGTCCCGGCGACGGCCTCAGAGCCTTGGGGTGGCGACCAGAGGGCGGACTCGGGTCTGGCGGTAACCTCCATGCCAAGGTTTAACGCACAACGTAGTCGTTGGCGACGCTGGCCGCGACCGCCGCAAGCCGCCCTGAATAGTTGCTTGTCTCAGGTGTACCGGCGCCGACACGCGCGGTCTGTACCGCGGTCGAGCGGCGCTTGGTGAACAGTGGTGGCGTGTGCTGGCCGTCCGCGCCGACGGTCGGACCGCTAGGTGTCGCGCCGAGCGGTCTGCCGCGGGCTTCTCTGCGATATCGAATGCCGCGCGTGCTGGATTCGGCTCAGGCGAGGCGAGGCGTGGCGAGTTGCCTTGACTCTTATGTGTGCAGAGATCTCGTGTGGCATTTCCTGCTCATCGTGATCCATAAACCACCTGTGGGAAGGGAAGCTTCCCATCTAGTATGTCTGCTGAATTCGCCGCCTTTGGAATCATGCCACCACCTAGGATTGATATGGAGAATGGCGTTCTGGAGTTACACATCCCGGAATGAACAGTGCATTGGCACTCAGCACTGGACCGTCGTCCTCGCCACCGCAGCGCACGACGAGCGAGAGAGCATGTCCCGTGAGGGCGCGTACTCTTCCATCCGACCTCGCGACTTGCGGTGGGGCAACAGCGACCAACAAGCAACATTGCCGCAAACGCGCTGGACTGTTCGAGGCGCGTTGCAGCCCTAAGTACGGTGGGTTCGTTTGGTTTTCTCCTCTGTCACGTGACCAATAATATCACGGGACGTGCTTACACCGGAAATGTATTTCATGCGACGGGGATTGGCGATATAACTGAGACTCATGTTAGTGGCGTCGAAAACCCTGCGTACTGCGCAGATAGACTGATATCAGTAGTGTCGAAACCCCTATTTATTGCACAGACTAGAGAATAGTACGAGCAAAAAGGCAATGCTATTCTGGTTTAGCACGGCAACAGGCTGCCAGGGCTGGGGAGAGGTACGCCCTCTAATGAATGGTTATGGAAGATCATTATACCTTGATTACGAAAAGGGCCATTCAGTCATGTCCGCACAGCCCGTCACGTCGCGCACAGTCGTGTCATGTCCCACGGCCAGATCGCGGTCGACGCTTGTCGACGAGCCCCACATAGTCGGCGTGAAACAGCAAGAGCTGCTGGAAGCGCTTGCCAGTAACGGGTGCCGCCAGCTAGTCAAAGTCTATGCGCTGGTGCACTCGGTTGTTCACTTCTTAACGACTAGCGAGTAAGACAAAGTGTACCCATCGATTGCATTGCAAACCCTGCCCCTAATCTCAGTAAAGCCACGTCCACCAGACGGTGAGCCCGACCAAGCACACACGGCGGATGATCTGGCTGCGACAACGTGTCCCAAAAGTCGCCTGGTCAGAGGGCTGCACCAGCCGAAGCCTCACTCTCGGCCGGGCCGACCAGACCGCTGCCGCGATCCGAAGGCGCTGATCTCTCTGCAGAGGTGCCGTTACTACCGCCGATGCGGCGCCGCCGGCCGTCTGTGGTCACGTGGTGCACCATGTACTCGAGCAGGTACATGCGGGTCCAGGCCACCCGGCCGAACGTTACCGCCTCCGGGCTGCAGCAGAGCCGCTCCTGCGGCCAGGGAGGGGGACGTCAACGACGCCCGCCGCGATCAGACGCCGGCCAGGGGCGCCACGACTCGGTCCACAGAGACTCACTACGGCCAGACGCTGGCCAAGGGCGCCACGACTCGGTCCACAGAGACTCACTACGGCCAGACGCTGGGCAAGGGCACCACGACTCGTTCCACAGGGACTCACTACGGTCAGATGCTGGCCAAGGGCGCCACGACTCGTTCTACAGGGACTCGCTACGGTCAGACGCCGGCCAGGGGCGCCACGACTCAGTCCACAGAGACTCGCTACGGCCAGACGCCGGCCAGGGGCGCCACGACTCGGTCCACAGCGACTCACTACGGCCAGACGCTGGCCAAGGGCACCACGACTCGGTCCACAGAGACTCGCTACGGTCAGACGCCGGCCAAGGGCGCCACGACTCGGTCCACAGAGACTTACCGCGGTCGGTGAACGTCTACACGCGGGAATGTGCTGCGTGCCGCAGGGTTCCTCGGATCACTTAGTGAACTGCTTATGAGCCGAAGGGGAAATGCCTCACAGTTGAGGTAAGGACCCCGATGTCAAGGTTTCCAACAGTCGTCACATGTGTCATATGGAGTTGAAAGCACACAACTGATGTCCTTCCTGGGATAGGCCGCCCTTTCCCGCCTCCGCTCTATACTCGGCTGGCTCAAAACTGAGTTCAGTGCGAATCATACTGCACCGGGGCAGAAGTCTCCCCGACCTCCGTCGGAGTCTGCCTGCCGTCCACCGAACGCGCGCCCGATGCGGCGAAGTCTCACTTCCGTCAGCGGGTACACGCTGTCGCGCCAGAACGACTGGAACCGACGCCGCGCCGATGGCAGGTAGAGCGCGCTGGGCGGCAGCGGCAGGAACCGCGGCCGGCCGCCGGCGTCTCGCGTGTCACGTGGTGCGATCGCCAGCACCGACATCATGTCACCTGGGAGCCGCACACCACGTGAGGACGGTCTGAGAACATCGCGGCAGTGAGAACGTCGTGTCGGGCGAGAACTAGTGTCATGTCGACGAGCCATGAAGAGCTCCTATGTGGCGTGAAAAGTAACATCTTGCAGATGTCATGTGACCCGACTCGCAATATGTGCATGACACCTGACACGTCGCTGGTGGGGCACACATATTCTGCTTTACGCGACACTCTGCCGAATCCCACGCATACCCGCATAACACACGGGCATCGGATATTACGCAGGTGATACGTGAGCCATCAGCCATTCTGCCTGTGATCAGAAACCTGATTATATTATCCGAACTAGCGGCGTTTGGCGCGACCACCGCTCGACGCGTGGCGCGGCGGGGCGCCTGCGCCGCGTCGCCCCACACCTTAGCGGTCACGTGCGCGGCCGGCGGGCCAGGCAGCCTCACCGAGCGCGACCTCCTCGCTCTGGCTCGGGTCGAGGTCGTCGAAGCGTCCCAGCCGGTCGGCCTCCCAGACCAGCCGAAGCGTGCCGACGCTGAGCACGACGCCGGCGGCGGCCAGGTTCACCAGCCGGCCGCCGACGCGCCCCGGGTGGCCCAGGTAGTGCGGCTCGGTCGGCGTCAGCGGCGCCAGCAGCCGGCGCAGGCTCTCCAGCAGCACGAAGTTGCTGTCGGAGGCCAGCAGCAGCCAATGGTGGCCAGCCAGCGGCTGGCGCAGCTGACGCAGCAGGTGAAGCAGTCGCGCTGGGCCGGCCGGTGTCTCGCCCGTCACCGAGTCTGCTGCGCGACGGCCGTACTCCACGGCGTCGGCGCAGTGGCGGAGCCAGGTGCGGCGCGCCGCCACCGCACCCTGCGCCGCCTCGTCGTGACGCAGCGCGCAGAACACGGTGACGCGCGCCGCTAGCGCGGCCGCCTCGGATGGCGCGCCGGGCGGCCGCAGCGCGCGCGCCAGTCCTTGCCGCCGCAGCCAGCCGGGGTACAGCCCGGCCAAGTCTCCAGCGGGGAGCAGCGGCGGCGGCGGCGGCGGCCGTGGTGCCGTCGGCCCTCCCCACAACAGGCCGAGCAGGAAGCCACAGGCGCACGAGCCGGCGAACAGGCGCAGGACATCTCGCTGGTACGCCATCGGTGTCAGGGGGCCATGGCGTGCCGCGCGGCGCCGGCCAGCCGACGGCCGCCCTGTAAAGAGCCGGTGTGACGTCTGTGACGTCACGCGAACTGTGCTCTCCACAGGCAGACCCGGCCGAGTGCAATCCGCGAACGAGCGACGGCGTTGCCCTGTCGTCGCACGATAAAGGTGCAGCACACGGCGGATCTCGCCCGCGCCGACACTGATCAGTGTGCGCCTGACCCGGCCGCCGCGCCCGGTCCGCCGACGCCCGGCTATCGGCGCTGCCGGCCGACCGCGCGGCGCCCGTCGGCCGTATCTGCCAGCCAGCGGCGCTGCCTTCCGGCGAGCAGCGCGCGCGGACTCTCCGCCCCGGCGCGGGCCTCCCGCCGCGACGCCGGGCACCGCTCAGAGCACGCGGCGCCGGGGGTCGGCTGGCTCTTCCGTTCCTCCCCGGGCCTGAGCGAACCGATGCGTTTCGCTGAGAGGTGGCAGCATTGCCAATAAGTTATCAGACAGCTGCGTTCCCACAGGTGGTTTGCGGGAGTAGTGCTGCACCTGACACAGCTGCTAACGGCCGGAGCTGGCATGTGCTGCTCGCGGCGAAAATGCTTGCGTGCTGGGAGCTGAATCGATGACATGCATCATTCACGGCCAGTCAGGCAACTGACGACCGGGGACAAGATCAATACATATCAGCCATTTGCAAGGACAGTTGACGTGTTGTCACACGCCGCTATAGGAAGCCGTTCCGGCAGGGGCGTAGTTTCCCATACAGATGGGGGGGGGGGGGGTTCAAGTCCCTTCCCTCAACTGTGAGAAGAAATTAGACAAAACCGGGGTGGAAACCATTTATTAACGCATTTTAGCGTAGGTTAATCAATTTTCGCTGTTCACCCCTTCCCACCTCAAACTTATTTTGTGAAAGTGCATCGCTGCGTGCTGGTAATAAGGGCCTACAAATACTTGTTCACGACATTTAGACCGGACCGAGGGAGCAGAGCTTAGTTTTGACAGCAACTGTGTGACACTTCTGCACTGCGTACTGCACTGCGTTGCACAGCGCACCAAAAAGACGCTTCCTCTTGAATTTCCCACCCGGCTTAGCGATGTGGGGCAAGTGGTAATTTGGTACGGCTGACAGGCAGTCTCTAGCGGTCATTGATGAACATCGATATATATGGATTATTTGGAAGACAAAAACAGCAAAGTGCGTGCCTGTAAACGCTTGAATGTCTGTCTGGGCATGCTTCAAGCCTAGTTTTACCTTTCAAGCCATTACCTTTTAGTGTGAACAAGTCCTCACTCGTTCACAATTACAAACAGTCCATTGCCCTTTCAATCAAGATCTGTCGCATTACTTCAACCATGCAACCAATTGCAAATAGGGCCGGTGTAAATCAGGGACGCCTGATTACACCCTCGGAAGTTTATATGTATGTATGTATGTATGTATGTATGTATGTATGTATATATACATATGTATATATATGTATATATTATTTTACACATAAATTATTAATATATATTTTACGACAAATAAATTATTAAAATTAGTTGATATACAGTAACACAAGCAGGCACAAAACAAACACTAAACTACTGTAACGATATGTCCCTACCAGCGCCAACTCACCGACACCTCCCAGCCGGCGTTGAAAACCCCCGGCTGTCGTACAGAATGATGCCACAGAATCAAACCGTGTCAGTCACGCTCCGATGACGACGCCTCAGGGCCGCCACAACAGCAGTATTGGATCCGTAGGATATCGGATCCATAAGCCATGAACCATCGGATCTCGTAAAATTGCCGATCCGGCGAGCTGGAAATGCATTTATAGCGACGTAAGTGACGTGGATTGTGTGCGCTCGTGCTATCGAAACTTAGAGCATTCCGGCCCCCGCCGCGGCCGTGAGGACGGTCGCCAGGTCATGACGAGGTTACCGACACGGCCGTGGCCGCCCCAGGGGTGCTGTCCGCTGGCCGATCGCGCTGCTGGCACGGCTGGACGGATCCCGGCGGGTGCGAGCAGCCAGGCCTTCCTGTCGCCGCCACCAGCCCGTCTTCTTCGTCTTCGTCTTCGTCTTCGCCAGACCCGGCACGTGTCAACAGGTGCACGCGGTCGGCGCCCGACAGACGCTGGTGACTCCGAGCAGTGCGTGCCCAGGGACGATGGGCGGTCGCGCGCCTTGATAAGCCCCGGACCTGCCGGTCAGGCCGGCGGCTCCGACGCCCGGGGATCGGCGACCTGACTCAGCTCTGCGGCCCGGCATCCCCGCGATTGCCGGATGACGACACATCGATAAGGCCTGTCGATTTGAACTACACACGAGCTCATAGTGTGATGCGCCAGATGGAGCGATTGACCGCGCACCGGCGCAATAAACGTACTAATAACTTGGCACAGCAGGGCACTCATCTTCAGCCCTATTCCAGAAGAGCATTAATGCATTGGTTTCATCGGGTATGCGCGTGACGCCCAACGCAGCATGACTTTGCGTTATGTAGTTGCCACATTAGCAAACACAGTTTAGACCAGCCTGCATAGTATTACATATACAATTGCCTATTACCTATCTCGGTATACTCGGGTTACCTATCTCGATCAATGTGCAACGCGTGTATGCATTGTGGTGCGCGGAGTCAAAGTTGGAGCCAACGCGCGTGCTGTGACCCTGAGTTCGAATCTCGGAGACAGGCGCAGACCTAGTGTCAGGACACTAATATTTCTCCCCACATTGGAGCCCAATTTTAGAAGCCTTAGAAGGCTGCGCCTTCCAGGAGGTGCTCGGAGGAGGTGTCGTGGTCTAATCGCCCGCGCTGGCTCCACAAGCCATGAGGCGCGGGCTGTGCTGCGCCACCCGGCAGCTGGGCCCCATGACAGATCGCCACACTGGCGCTGGCTCCACAAGCCATGAGGCGCAGGCTGTACTGCGTCACCCGGCAGCTGGGCCCCATGACAGATCGCCACGCTGGCGCTCGCCTGTCGAGGAGTCGCAGTTTTTTCCCAGCATTAATAAAGACCTGGATCAATGTGTGGGACAGCTGAGCGCTGGTCCTATATTGATGTCGGCTTTTGCGTTGGCCCTACAACATTGCCCATATAGTCATCAGCCTTTCCTCAGAAAAAAACTACCTATTCGGTGTCCTTGATGATTGTACGAGCTACTTGCGCCATACTGTCTTAGTTTACAGCCAATAATTACTGCTTATTCTTACCTGTCCTTACAGCTTTGCTTTTGGGCATTGCACTAGTGATAAGGCAAAGCAATAATTCTAGTAATTCAAATGACATGAACAGTGTCCTGAATAGGCTACATTGCATCTTCACTCGTGCGACACTATTTCAGCAATGCAGGATCTAAGTAATGATAACTTTCGATCTCGCCTTACATCCTGAAACGCTAGGCTGGAACCTTTAAGGCCTACGCCACGTTTACATTATTGCAACACAAATCGTAATAATATAACACTGTAGCCGGTAGCATGCGTGTATAAATGAAGACCTTGTTCATTCACGCTCACGCTGGTGACAATCGGTGTTGGCGAGAGCTCTTTGTCTTATCATTGGCCCACGTGGTACGCTTCCTCTGCTTAGTTATCGCGAAGAATTGCATCGCAGTACCGTTGAATTAGAGTGGCGCTGCACCAGCCAACGCACCAGTAAGGTGTGCGTCGTCGGTGCTGGTGGTGTTGGTGCTGGTGGTAAGGTGTGCGACTCTGTGTGATTGTGTGATTTGATTTCGTCGCTGTATGGCGTCTCGCAGCAGGATTTTCTCCACGCCAGCACGCCGGCCCCGCCCAGCGCCCGCTGAAGGCAGCGGCGACACCTCCACCGTCGCTGTGCTGCCCCCGAGAGCGGCACAGGCGGCACCACCGACGGCCCAGCAGTGCTCTGCGGGAATGTGGCCGGGAGCCGAGCCAGGCGAGGGCACCGGGCCGACTCGGTCGCCGTCCTCAGCCCGGTGTGCGCCACGGCCGCCAGCCGGGGCAGCTGGCCACGCGGACAGGGTGACCGGCGAGGCGCCTCCTCGCGTGCGACGCGCGGAATCCCACTGATTATCGCGTGGGACCGCCGCACCTGTTCGTCGGCGGGCATCGATATAAGTAGTTGTTCGGCTCATCCCAGCCGTATATCCGTCGACCGGTGTCATGCTGCTGCCGCTTGCCATCCTATTGGCCACCGTCGGCCCGGCCCCGGCGCAGACGCCGCCGGCTCCGCCCCTGGACGTGGTCGTCTACTACGAGGCCCTGTGTCCCGACTCGCGCCACTTCGTCGTCGAACAGCTGGCGCCGGCCTGGCGCCGCGTCGGCGCCGCTGTCCTGGCACCGAGCTTCGTGCCCTGGGGCAAGGCGACGGCGAACGCCACGGACGCCGGCCCCAGCGTCACGTGCCAGCACGGCCCCGAGGAGTGCTGGGGTAACCGGCTGCACGCGTGCGTCATCTACGACACGCGCACCACGGACGCTCGGCTGGAAGCGGTCACTTGCCTGATGGCCGACTACGAGACACTGAACGCGACGGCGCCCGGCTGCGTGCGCGCAGCTGGGCTCGACTGGGAGACGGTGAGCCGGTGCGCCGTCTCGGACGTCTCCCTGGAGAAAGAGCTTGAGTTCGGCCGGCGCACGCAGGCTCTACAGCCGCCGCTGACGTCCGTGCCGACAATCACGCTGGACGGCAGCCAGGACGGCCAGGCGGCCATGCTCGCCGACCTCCTGTTCTACGTCTGTGAGACGTGGGCGCGGAAGACCGGTCATACCCCAGAGGGCTGCGGCCCGCGATGAGTCGGCGTCGGTTGCCAGCTGGCGCCGCTGCAGGACCGGCTCTGGCCCCGCTGCAGGACCGGCTCTGGCGTCGCTGTAGGACCGACTCCGGCGTCGCTGCAGGATCGGCTCTGGCGCCGCTTCAGGACCGGCTTCGACGCCAGGAACAGTCATGGGCTCATCTGCTGCGGCCAAAGATTTCGGGAAAACGCTCGTAATAAACGGGCGAAGTGCCGACCTATTGGACATGCAACTCGGGGCCGTGGTCCGGGAATTTCCGACGCACAAACACATCAGGAATCCGTCGTTACACTCCGGCATCTGTGTTTTACTGACGGTAGCTGTGTAGGTCTTGCATGAATGCCACATTTGGCCGTATTCCTCCCTTTAGTGGTGCCAGGGAACGGTCCAGTAGCGGCCTGTGTCACGTTCATCACCTGCCCGCTCTGTGCGCGCCGCTGAGGTCGTAACTCCCCCGGTAGCTTCGGCTGGGCCATGTAATCGCACTTTGCCAATGGCAAAGTCTTGTCATCAGCTGGGAGAGGAGTTGGCTAAATATACGAAGCATCTTTTTGGTGGCTACAAATCAAAGCTCTGCGCTTTTGAGCCCAACAAACACGACCAAGAGGTAAGCATGCCAAAACATAACGCAAACAAAAAGTTCCTACCAGCATTACGATTAGCGTATCTAGGGAAGAACCATGTCAAACGAAAGCAAAACATATTAACTCACCTCATTACGCTGCTTTGAACAGCGCAATGGGATTAGTTGTGTACCCCCCTCCCAAAACACTGTTTTGGAATGCGGTGGTCCTCATATATTGACACTTTGTGCACTTGCAGTACCCCGATGATATTGAGGGAATTATGCCTTCGCAAACTCCTGTATATTTGGATGGCCTAAAAGTGTAAAGATTTCTTGCGTATAAGTTGTACGTGCGAGCCCTATTTTGGGACATTCAAGAGCGATGTCTCAGTCTTTTTATCACAGACTGAATTGAAACATGAAAGTTAAATTGCTTTCTGTACCATCACTGTTGGTTGGGACAATGCACTTTATTCGGTTTCACGATATATATAGATATATAGATATAGATATAGATATAGATATAGATATAGATATAGATATATATATATATATATATATATACGAGAGGAGGATATATGTATATATATATATATATATATATATATATATATATATATATATATATATATATATATACGCTGAGCCCTCATTCTTTGGTATATGCTCGCCTGTGGGATATATGGTGCACGCAATTGACCTATGCCATTTTCAGCTCGATTCGGCGTCTGCTTTCGGAGCTTCGACCTGGGGTATTGGGGGAAGCCGTGACTGCGGGTTACATATTTTAATGACTCGCATCTCGTGCAGTCATAGAAGCGATCCAGCACACACACATTGCTGTATTTGAGACAAAGCGAGAATTCCTTCATTGTCCAGACTTCTGTTTTGTGAAAATTTTGTCTCCTTGACCTTGTGACCTTGGATCACGTGAACGCCACGTCACGTGTCCCTGTTCAGCAAATATGCCCCTGGTTGACGTCAGGCTCATTGCCGGTACGGTTATCCCTGTCGAGCACTGTGAGCCCCTGATCAGCACACCGACCCTCCACTGTCTTGGGGACCAAAGTCATACAAAAACTTTTGGCTTATTATTTGCAGGCCCAGGCCCTGAGCCAACTTGGGAAAGGGGTCTCAGGGCCCAGACCGGTGGAAAGCCCACTGCTTGGTATTGGTGGTCTCGTTCACCTGACTGACATAGAGGCTCTCACTGTCCCCCCCCTCCCCCCCTCCCATCGGCCTAAGACGCCCTCCGACTGACTTTTGGGAGTACCGCCTTCTGATTGGGGTCTCATCATTTGCCCCGGCCTGCCTCTCGGGCCCTGCGATGGTACCCTTGAGCGTCGACCCCTCGGGACCGAATTCTGTAATGTTGGCCACGTGCCCCTCCCCCTCCCCCCCAATGATGGCGCCCCTGGTTCCTCGTGAAAAAAAGAGAAATTTTTGGTTGCCGCTGAACTTTACGTCACTTTAAATTGAGTGTTTTGGGGCACTTTGTATTGCGTGCCTATAATTGGGTGTCTGTTCAAAGTGCAGGATATGATACCCGAAATTTAAGGTTTTTTGTATCTCTTCGCCGAAAGGGTCGACCTAGAATGCCGCCAGGCTGTAACCCACAAGTTGTGTTGTCCCTGATTTTGTTGCTCCTTGAGGATGAAGATGTCGGGTCATTTGATTGATACGTTGGGCTACGGTGCCTCTTGAAAATAAAGTTATGGTGCCAAAAAAGCGTTGGTGACCCATGGCCGAATAAGCCGATCCCGGACTTAGGCAATGAAAACGTTCGAACATTGTGCTGCTCCCTTGGGATTGTTGTCTCATGAAAATCGACCTTTTGGGGCCCTCTGAGATGCCCCTGGAATCGGGCGCCTCTTAAAATAAAATTGCTTTTCCGCAATGAATGCCTTATGTGCCCCTGCATCGTACGGGTTGATCCAGGGTTTGGACAGGGTAGGAAAGAAATACATCACGGCTCCCCTTAGAAATAAAAGCAGGTCCCGTTTGAATAGGTCACTCTCGAAAAAGATGTGGTCCGCCGAAATGAAGGCTTTGGTGTCCTTTCGCCGAAAGGGATGATCCAGGATTTCGTCCATGGAGTCAATTTTTTGTTGCGCAAAAGATCCCTGCTTGGGCCAAAAAAGATAAATTTATGTTATCATGTTTTCGGAAGCTATCATACCTTTATGATGAAGCACCACTGAGATGCTAATGCCCACCTGCAGCAGGTGGGCGTCGAACAGTAAAACCTCATCTGCTAATTTTTTACCATTTTGCGTTTTTGTGTCAGCTGATTTATCTCTCCATGCTTATTTCGGTTATATAAACAATCAATGGAAATGTTCACGAATTTTTAGCCCCTTCTTCCAGCTTAAAGTTTTTGAAAATTTCATCTATTGGTTTAAATATCGAGCTCAGCACGAAGAGACGAACCAAATGACATAGAACCCACAATGGCCAGAAATGAGCATACGGAATTTTACATTTGGACCGTGGAACTGATGACCTATGCTCATCTTTAAAAGATGCGAAATATTATGTCAATGTAATAGGCGTTTAGCGCCACAACTTCGTTTAGCCAGCACTACCCGGTATATTAAACATCGTTAACCCAATGTGAGAATTTTTAATTTTTAACAACAAAAATCCAGAAGCTGGAGACTTTTTTCTTATAGCATTTTGAATTCATGAGCACATAATAAAGCATAAAAAATCCGTGAAAAAGGGCCTGGAAAAAACATGGGCAAGGTTCATGGACTCGTCCGCGCCCCTCAACAAATCACGCATACCTTAACATCATATGGAACAGCGGACGGTCTTTCAGCGTTGGAGGTGTTCAGGTACGTCTAATGGTACAGCACCTCTGGTGAACAAGTGAGGCATTCATAAATGTGTGGTACATCTTCTGATACCATTGTTGTATGGTTTGCCTGCTAGATTTAATTGATTCAGGACGTTTTAGGAAGTGTGAGGCCTACGGCAGCGACATCGTGGAAACTGGGTTAGCAAAAAAGTGACGGACAGTGTCATTAATTGACAATGTATAAGGCACAAGGTTATATAGAAACGTCAGAGGAATTCAAGAATGTCCCGTGCATGTACTAGTAACATTATCGTATGATTTTTGCCAGTTTTAACTGATACGGATTGTTACTGCTACTGAGTAAGAGGCCTATGCCGGCGGTGCCGAAATTCCTAAAAGCACAAATGGTACGTAGTGCTCACCACTGGCAAGGTGACAGATCAATACGTACCTTCAACAAACACAGATCTTGCAGACGACGAGGTTCCACATAACCACGCGCAATGCAATCCCCCGAACACTGGCGGCTCACGGACTCCTGTTGCACTTCCGGACGCAGCGCAAGAAAATCCCAACATTTCTGCTGCGTCAGCACTGCCTCAAGTGTCCATGAATGAATTGCTATCAAGATGTTTTGTATTGACCTCTGTTTCGAATACTGGACCCAAATTTTTTAGTAAAAGGTATCTATAAAGTATTAGATATTCAATTTTTTGGTTCTCAGCTATATACGCAGCTTAGAACGCGCTTTTATGTATCATCATCTCATCAGAGGTATGTTTGCCTGCGGGGGGGGGGGGGGGCAGAACAAATATAGGCGGACGTGGTAGCGACGTATATGACGTCAAGTTGGAAGCATGTGCATTAATATACTTAGAAACCGCTTTCAAGCTGCAAATCACCAAAACAAAAAACACTAAATAACATGCAACGTATCTGCACGAAATGTTTATCATCACAGCTTGATCTCACTCCAAACGGGTTCAGGACATTAATATTAAGTCCTCTAGCCCGTGCATTCACTCCCCGATGCGCTCCTCCTGGTGATGTTTCTGGACAAAAAGTGAACTATATCACCGTGTTATAAACTCACGTTGCAGATACGCGGTCTATTCCGCGTTGTGTCTTGGAAAAATATTTGTCAGAAGGCCTTATATCTATCAACGTCATTTTCAGTCAGTCTCATGCCAGTATGTGCGTTCGTGATCAATATGCCCTCGCTTGGCTTTCCCCGGGTCGCTTATGACGCTCGCGGCGACAAGTGGCAATAGCCAGTCTATTGTTATGGGCATCGTGATGCTCGGGAGCCGTATGGAGATGCTGTGAATTGCTGGAGTGAAGCTGTCCTCAATAGCCAAATGGTGGCCTTATTTGCATGATTGCTCCTCTTTTCCTGAAAAATTTCACGTGGTTGGGTACGCCACGACGTACTAGCCTTGCTGGTCCTAAAACTCGTCAGCGGCGTGCTGCTGATTAGGCTCTGCAATGGAGCTTGCATCTGGGTAGAGCATTGTTGACCGAACGAAGCAAAGTACCTGGTCAAATAGGTATGTGGTGGTCTGATTTTGTTTGTATTTCACAGGGGGCTGTGGTGGCTGAAGCATTGTGTGACTTAATGTTTCAGTAAGGAGCAAGATTTGAAAGTGCACAAATTTGCAAGGGAACATTTCCCACACAATTACTTATAAGTGGTGCCTGCCTGTGCTATGTATAAGAGTGATGTATTTATTCTGTATAAAAATGATTGCCAGAGCTCTTTGGAAGATAACACAGCAATGAGCTCAACCACTTTGTTTCAGGTTATGGATGGCAAAGAAGAAAGTAGGGTATCCTTGCTACCTACACATTCCAAGGACCTAACAGATGGTGCTGAGCACAGGCAAAAGGGTTTTCTAAGCATTGGGGGCATCACAGTTCTGTGCCTTTGGTACATATTTTCAGGATGTACCCTGTTCTTAAACAAGTACATTCTCAGTTACTTGAATGGAGATCCAACTGTATTAGGTAATGTGCATCTGTTGCATCATGTCTTGTGTTTGAATCTATGTATAGTGCAAGTCATATTCCCATGGGTTTTGTTATTTGCTTTCATCCTGATAGCATGTAAGGTGCTTATATCATGATGTTTCAAATTTGACTTTGCTATCATAATCATTGTAAACATACCTTGCTGCTTTAAGCTTTTCTAAGCTTCTTGTGTTTTTTGTTTGTTTAAGACATTTCATGTCATGTTTCATATCATGGCAAGTCATGACCCCATGGTTTGTGAGGTATTCATTGATTCCCAAACTGTGTAGACTATTTACAGTCATTCGGTATGTGCATCATCTCTATCATGGAAGACATAACTTCCACTTGAGTTCTCACTTTCTGGTTACCTGCTAAGTTCATACCAACCCGTACTCTGCATGATTTAGGGCCATGTCATGTGGTTTCTGTTATTTTGCAATGCTCTGTCAGCAAAGGTACCTATGTTTTTTTCGGAAGTGGCTATTTTAACCAAAACATCATTGATCATTCATTAAATAGACATACCTGGAACACTTGTCCATTAGGCTATTTTGCACAGGTGCAAACCATGTTTTTGTTTCAGGCGTATGCCAGCTGCTGGTCACTACAGTCTGTGGCTTTATTCAGCTGAATGTGACTTCACTTTTTACAACACAGTCTTCCAGAAGCATCAGGTCACCAAGTTTCTTGTTGAACATGCTAGTCGTAGGCATCCTGAGGTACTTATTTCCAGTTTCTTGTTTTCATTGCATTTATCTCCATGGCACCATTTGATCATGTTTCTCATTTTGTCATAATGGTGAATTACATTACATCCTGCAGTGTGCTTCACCCACCTACTCTTTCATGGCTGGCATGCAAACAATGGAGTAACATCAAATTGATGGAATGCAGGGGTGGACATTTATTGTCTGGTGCATCTGCTTTGTGCATGTGAGATGCATGGTGATCTGCATAATTTGCTGTGTGTTCCACCAGGTTCGCCACAGTTGTCCTGAGCCTTGTCTCCCTGAAGTTTGTGGCTGTGAGCTTCACAGAAACAGTGAAGAGCTCAGCGCCTCTGTTCACTGTCGTCATCTCACGTTGCATGCTGGGTAGGTGATTCAGCAAATCTAGGTGGACAAGAAACAATGGATGAAGCAAATACAAATACAGAGACACACACCATTGGTTAAGTGTATAACAAGCATTGTCTGACAAGCTTTCTGTGATCTGTTGGCTAAAAAAAAAATGTCATCACATCCCACCTGCTCAGTCCAGGTAAAATAATGGAATCATAACACAGCAGCAGAGACTGAGAGTAAAAGATTTATGTAGCAAGATGTATGCTTGCTTTCAGAGAGGTGAGCATATTGCACTAGATACTGGGTGATTTGCAAGGCTTTAGTCCAAATCGCAGGAGTCAAGATACAATTGGAAATGTGTCCCTCCCCTGGTGAAAATTTTGGTGATATGCCTTGAATGCCCCTCCTCCCCCCCCCCCCCATAGTGGAGTATGTCCCAGTCACTTCATTGCTCACTTTTTGAGCATGTAAACATCAGGTGATGTGAGACAAAGCATACCATTCCAGGTGTTGCGTCACATTAAGCTGTGTTCTAAAATTCTGCTGTTGGCCTCAAATTTCATGATCAGATGGTGTGGTCAGTGCTCCCAATGAGCGCTGGTCAGTGTGCGGTCTGCTCCCAGAAATCCACCATTCAGAGTATTATGATTTTTTTAATGTCAATAATATTGGTCGAATCAGGACGTGCCAGATGTGTGATGAACATTCTTCTTACCGGATTGAGAACAAAAATATGATGTTCTACTAGTGTGCGACGATGACATGTGACACTTGTCAGGTAAGAGGATAGTCCCTGGTGAAGCAGGGACCAGTGCTGTGTGATGACGTCATTTGACGAGCGAGACGACGGGTCTGCTGACGAACTGCTGTGTGGTGTCTGTGTTGAAGGGTCCGGCGCCGTGTGATGACGTCATATGAGTCTATGGCGCTCTTCAGGCGAGGTGACAAGTCTGGTGGTGAACTGCTCCTTGGTGCCGGTGATGCTGGGACTGGCACTGTGTTCCTCCAATGAGCTGAGTTTCGACATTCGTGGCTTCAGTGCTGCCATCTGCACCAACCTAGCTGAGTGCTGTCAGAATGTGTACTCCAAGCTGCTCATCTCTGGCGAGAAGTACAAGTACACGTGAGTTCTTGTGCCGTCAGATCGGTGGATAGCTCCATTTGTGCTTTTTCTTCAAGTTTTGACGGGTCATAGTTGACCTTGTTTCCATTTGCTGGAGTTACATATGAAAAACGTGCATGCGGCAACTCCGCGCTTTAAGGTATCAAAGGGGTTTGGACCAATTCGGACAGAAAATGGATGGAAGGTTCAAACACCATAAACAAACTGAACAGAGCAAATTGTTTGGTTAAATGGCAGTTCGCCTCATCTAAGCAACCCATTTCAAATTGTTTAATTATTTCTGCATTTGACATTGCTGCACATATTCAAACTATTTTGTAATTGGCATTGAGTGCAGGGTGCTGGAGAGTTAGATCAATGCCAACATAAAATTTTGAATATGGTCTTACGGTGGAATTAACACCATACAATGTTCATAATTACGGCCGCTCGCTGGTGAACATATTAAATTTCCCGCCGATCCTGGTCTCCGTGCATTTGCAGAAGGCATTGTGTTCGCATTGGTGCCTTTTGGTGAGACAATTTTGACGCACTGCTGTAAAATGGCTGAACAACACTGTTCTTCACAGCCAGAGTACTGAGAGTGTCACACGATATTAACTTTCCAGGTCGTAATCCGAACGTTCAACATCGGTAGAAAATATTCGTTCATAGGTATGAGCTTGATAAAAGCAAAAGAAATAGAAATGTTGTGAAAAATAGCAAACAAACATGTATTTATTTTCTCGAATCAAGATCCCCTGGTAATGTCATGAGCACGCCTATCACGCAAATGGCAAGTCATAGCTCACGTTATGTGCTAAAAGGATGTTTTAAATTGATGGCCAGGAAGCATCACCAAATGGAATTGCTTTAGCTTGATGAAAAGATAGAAAATTGTCATTAAGTGACACATCCCACCCCGCCACCATCCCCTCTGGATAAACATGGTCAATAGACTGCATGGCTTTCCTCTGTTTGCGATATTACAAAAGTGCATGAACGTATATTATACAGGAGGTATGTGTGCTGTGGTTGTTTTTGTCTTAATGAGTGGGGGCATCAGTTCCAAATGACTGCTTAAAATCAATCAAGGTTTTGCATTCTCTTTGGTTGCATGCATACAACTCAGTGAACACTTAAATAGTAAAAGATGAACATGAACTGTGGTATGTTTGTCACGGGTAAGCAAACATTCCAATGTTTTTCAACATAAATTTGGGGAGAATAGATCACCTAGTGCAAGACAAAAACATCAACGAGCCCGTAAACTTTATCAATGGAGGAGCTTTGAAAGATACAGATGTATCGCCCAACAGTGAATTCATAAAGGCCAGTATCCAACCAAAGGTTAAAAATGACCCCCCCCCCCAAATATATTACGTTAGCCCTTAAATGTCTAAAATGTGTGTGAAATGCGTTCCTCTGTCACGGATGTCCTTTTTTCCGACTGCGACCCTGTGCCCAAAACCGCTGCTCCACTGCCTGATGCAGTTGCAGCGTTATCCATGCTCGACATGTGGAAAACTGTAGTGCTGGCGGCGCTCGGCGGGCCGTAAAGCCGCAGTTTTACCCGCGTTCCGCAGGCCGACCGAGCTGCAGTTTTACACGTCGCTGTCGTCCGTGCTGGTACAGCTGCCGGTCTCCTACCTGCTGGTGGGCCCGGAGCAGCTGAGCACGCTGCAGCCGCAGCTTCTGTCGGCGCTGGCCCTCAACGGCCTCTCCTTCCACATGCAGAGCTTTACTGCCTACGTTCTCATGGGCTACATCAGTCCTGTGACATACAGGTGGGGCGGAAAACATGCGTGATGCGTGATAGTTTGTATATGCGTGCTGCAATTAGGCAAACATTTTCATTGGCTGATAATCGGTGAGTTCGACGAAGGCATGATTCAGACCGAGGCCATAGAAACAATAAATTTGATTTGATTGGCGAGAACAATACTTGAATAGAGCAACTGGTTAGAACAACGTATTTGGGTGGCTGTTTTTCGGTTCATTCGCAATTGCGCCCTCCAGTCTCAGTTTTTTGTTTTGTCGAGTCATTTTATCTTCCGGCGAGATCCTTCAATAAAGCGGAACCGTTCTCATCGCTTAGTTTTGAATTCAGGTGCGTTACGTTTGCACATATGTAATAACGTTTCCAGCGTGTAATGAGTCGTGCATGAATATACACACACACACACACACACACACACACACACATATATATATATGTATATATATATATATATATATATATATATATATATATATATATATAGTATGAATACAGTTGTCTCGGTCCCATATTTCTACCTCGTTACTAAATGACACTACCTAACCAGACTCCCAAGATAAAATCGTGAAAATACACATCCTCGTGGCCGGGTGCTTTTTCCCAACTGAAGTATATTCCGACCCGCAACTTTTTTCCACGTCACGAGACAAATGCCGCTAAATGTCAGTGGATGTTTCCGTGCATGACGTCGCCTGCGTTGCCGATGACTGGCAGGACATGCGTGCTGTGCTCGATGTCTGTAATGATTGGTGGGTGTTTCGTGCAGGCTCACGACCTTGTTTGACATCGCCGCGTCCTGGCTTAAACGATGGAGCTCCCCTGCTGCAGAAATCGAGCACTAATATTTAACTTGTCGGCCACTGATGGTGCCGCACCCTGTGGCTGTCCGTGCCAACGGTACCGGTTGGGCCTCGTCCGTTGGTGTCAACGGTACCGGTCGGGCCTCATCCGTCGGTGCCAGCGGTATCGGTCTGGTCTCGTCCGTTGGTGCCAACGGTACCGGTCGGGCCTCGTCCGTCGGTGCCAGTGGTACCGGTCGAGCCTCGCCCGTTAGTACCATCGGTACCGGTCGGGCCCCACCCGTTGGTGTCAGCGGTACCGGTCGGGCCTCATCCGTTGGTGTCAGCGGTACCGGTCGAGCCTCACCCGTTGGTGTCAGCGGTACCGGTCAAGCCTCGCCCGTCGGTACCAGTGTGACGCGACATGTTTGCCCGCAGCGTGGCCAACACGGTGAAGCGCGCGCTCCTCATCTGGTTCTCGGTGCTCATCTTCGGCAACGCTGTGTCCGTGCTGAGCGGCGTGGGTACGGCCACTGTGCTGCTGGGCGTGCTCTGCTACAACCGGGCGCAGGAGTGGGCGGCGGCCCGCGGCCGGCGCGCCTCGCTCGCCGCCGGCCCCACCGACGGCGTCGCCGTACAGCTGTAGCGTGCAGCCTCCCCGCGCCGTCCAGCGAGCGCGACGCCGTGGGATGCACTCCCGCCCTGGCACCGGACCGACGGCTCCAGAGCTACGCGTGGCGGTGGCAAGCCGGCGGGGCTGGTGTGCTGCCGCCGCTGGCAGGCACGGCGACATCCGGACACGGACGTGGCCTTGGCTGCGCTTGGCCACGTCCGTGTCCAGAGCTGCGCGCCGGTGGAGCTAGAGAGGTTCAGCAGCTGTGAAGACGGCGTTCGCGTTGTTTTGCAACAGGATGGCTCGTAGCGTGCGTATGTCGCTGTGCGCCTCAGACGACTTCTCTGTGTTTTGTAAGTTGTGAAGGGTCGGTGCAATTGCCCTCTGCGTTATTTTCTGTTGAAATCCCTCTGAGCGGTATGCA